TGGCAAGACCAGGGCAAAATGAGGGCATCGCCCAAGCAAGACAATGCTGCCCACTTCACCCCGGGTAAGGGACAGCCTCCCCAAACGAAGTTTAGCAAGTGGCTGAAAAGACAACAGCTAATAGTGCCCTGAAGTGAAATTTCGAGGGGTTTAGGACTGAGAGGAAAGAGTTGGGCTCAAGCGCGGTTGCTTGGTCCAGCCGGGATGCAGTCCAGCTCCATCCTTTACCGCCAGCCCCGTGGCGTTGCCTGCGTGCTTTGGATGATTCAGAGGGAAATTCGTAAAGCTGGGGGATGGGCCAGCCCTACTCGCGGGCCCTAGGGGGCCCAGGGGCTTTCTAGGCTCTGGGAAAGTTCGGCTCCTTTGCTGATCCTTGCTCACTGTCGCCCAGGACCTGGGGCTGCAGGTATGATGGGAGCCGCGGGTGCAAAGTGCGCGGCGTGGGACCTGGGGCGGGAACCGGGCCTGGCTTTGCATCTGACACAGCTATGGGTCTACCCGCCAGTGGAAATGAATCTGGGGTAACTGGTCTTAGTTTCGGGAGAAGACAGAAAGTGGGGCGACAACGGCCCCAGCCCCTACAAATACTTTGTTTTGTTTTAAATCACTAAATTCGTGCAATCAGCCCCATTCCTTAACCCCTGTAAGAAGAAAGCGTCCGCTGGTCCGCACAGGTTGGTAGACTGATGCCTTTTCCTCGGTGTGGTTGCTCATCTCCAGATTTTGTTCTTTTAGGAAAATAGGGTTTTTGAACTAATGCACAGGGCATTTTTCTAACTTATGGACCCCACTCTTGTCTGCCGCTGAGGGCAGTGTCTCTCACCCACCGTGGGAAAAGGACTACCTTTTGTTGAATTATCGTGTTTAATTCCCCCAAGGGCTCAGCCAAACAGGTGTTCTTTACAAATGAGGAATTTGCCCAGAGGTGAACTTTTGTAGGGCTCTCAGGGTAAGATTCAGAGCCGGTCACCGCAAGTTGAAGGCGAAGTCGTTTCTCACTTGGTTTTCCAAATACTAAACTTTGTTTGCTCATTGTGTGGTATGAGGACCAACTCTGAACCCCCCCACTCCCGACTCCCCCACCCCCCACCGGCATCCTAGGCCCAAGCTCTACCCCCCCGAGTGATACTTCCAATCCTATAAAATGATATAGCAAACTTTCTTTTAAACAGGTATGTGGGTTAATGGAATCAGTTTTACATTTGGAGTGATTTCAGACCAGACATTTTTGTCTGGAGAGTGGTCAGTGGAGCAAGAAGGTCACTAATGGCTTCAGGAACACTTGGGGATTTGTTAGAATGCAGATTCCTGGGGCCCACCGAGATTTGCTGAGTCAGATTCTCAGGAGTGGTACCCAGGAAACTGCAGATTTGCAAACAGTACCCTACAGAGGGCCTTTCTTTTATCTTATTAAATAGGAGGTTTGGGTTTTTTGTTGTTGTTGTTGTTGTTGATGGTAGTGGTGGTGGTGTTTTGTTTTGAGTAGCCAAGAGCCTGTCTGCCAAAAAAAAAAAAAAAAAGAAAGAAAGAAAGAAAGAAAAGGAAAAACTGCATTCTGAAAGTTTGGAGAAAAAAATGTGTCATTGCCATTATTGAAATAAAAAAAAAAAGATGGTTAGGATACATTTTCCTCACTTTTAGTATAAATAAAACCCCAGTCTCTTGCATGGGTTGCTGGCTTCTGGTTGAGTAAGAGCTTGCCTGTGCTTTGTCCTTCCAGTCACTATCACTAATAGACCTTTGATTCCCAGAAGACCAGCTACAGACGTGAAGCAGCGTGGCCTTCACGGAGTCCAGCAGTGCTGGATAAATGCTCAGATTTGGGATTTAATCTTTTGAGGCTGTCCCTCCAGAGCTGCTGTTTGCACAGAACCTTTGGCGAGTCCATCGGCCTTCCAAGTCTTAGGGTTTTAATCTGTTTAGTAGGAATAAGAGCTATGGCACACTTTAAAGATCTAGCATATGAAGTGAGTTTGGGGCTATAACTCACATGTGGCTGGAGTTAGTAAATATTTCCCCCCTTTTGGATTTTTGTTTTTGGTCTTGCATAAATGAGTTTCTCTTGTCAGTTTGCCACTAGCAAGATCTAAGATAGTTGGAATTAAGAAACAGTCACTTTGAAGTTGGGTGGTGGTGCATGCCTTTAATTCCAGCACTGGGAGGCAGAGGCAGGTGGATCTCTGTGCATTCTAGGCCAATCTGGTCTATAGAGCAAGTTCCAAGACAGGTAGGGCTGTACAGAGAAACCCTGCCTCAAAACACAAAACAAAAAATCATGTTGAAATCACAGTTTTTTGTTTGTTTCCTTTTTGAGATAGGGTCTCATGTGGCTTAGAACTCATGATGTAGCTGTGGATGACCTTGAACTCAGGATCCTTCTGCCTCCTCCAAAGTGGCATTATAGACAAGTACCACCGAGTAAGGCCACAAGGGGAACTTAAACAATTCCATTAAAAAGGTTTTCTTCCCAGATTAGGGGTAAAGAAGCGTTTTTGTAACCCCCATGCCGGGCCCTGGGCTCCATTCCTAGCACAGCAGTAAATGAGCTGTAGGTGTGACATAACTGATTCCTCAATGATGCTTTAGTGCTGTGATACAATGAGGAGGATGCCTGAGATGCTGCCACTCATCGTGCCAAAAAGAAAGTTCAGGAAAGATGTTAGCTGTTGTTTTAAACTGTGCTTTGGATAATGTTCAATTTATCGAAAATTGCCATGGTAGCAGGAACTCCCTGTGAATGTCTGTCTTTCTTTCTTTCTTTCTTTCTTTCTTTCTTTCTTTCTCTCTTTCTTTCTTCCTTGCTTGCTGCCTTTCTCTCCTTTCTCAGTCGTCTGAGAGTTTATTGCACGTGTAGCCCCTAGTTGGCTTCTGTGTGTTCTGTTGTGTAGAGGGAACTATCAGCTTAGTGAGCGTGGGTATTTCTTGTGTGACCTTACAGGATTCAGTACTGCAGGAATTTTACATTGATACAGTCATTTCTGTAATCTGAAGCTGCTCTCCAGCCCCCGCAGATGCCCTGATGGTGTGTTTGGAGCCAGCATAGAAGGGCCAGCCCGTTATGTTTGAGGACTTTCTCCAAGTTTGTTTTCCAAGACAATGACATTTTGAAGAATAGGAAGCCTCAATTTGGGTTTGATGTTTCCCCAAGATTCATTCAAAACCAACATTTGAGACTAGAATACTACAAAAAGGGTGTATTATGTTTCCAGATATGTTTCTAGGCATGCGGCATTTGTTGCCCCTTGCTGATGACCTTGACTTTGAGGGTCAGGATGTCCTTTCTCCACTGTACAGTCACTTTTTTTTATTTTTGTAATTGACACGTAGTGTTTAATAATTAATTGAAAACTATGCACATATTCCGATCATCTCAACCTTACCATCATCACCAGCATTATGTACTGATTTGATTTTTGTTAGTTTTTGAGACAGGGTCTCACTCTGTAGCCCTGCTGGCCTGGAATTCTCTATTTAGAGCAGGCTGGAGTTAGAGCCCTGCATCTGAAAACGACGCTGTGTGTGTGTGTGTGTGTGTGTGTGTGTGTGTGTGTGTGTGTGTGTGTGTGTGTGTGTGGTCTCTGTCATTTGACATCTGCTGAGAGAGAGCTCTCTCCTCTTCCTCCTCGTGTGTGTTAGGGCTGAGGGCTCCTGGCTCTTGCTTGATTCAGGGGATTACAATGCGATGGTGTGCTGACTTAGTGTTGGTACTGAACCGGCTGCCCCTCCCTGGCTCCCTGTCTTTGTGAGCATCTCCCCCTCCCCCAGGACCTCCTTGCTTTGCAGTGCTAGCTGACTCCCGCCCCCATCTGTAAACACTGGCATTCCTAACTCCTTAGGATTAGGGGCTGCAGAAAAGAGTTTTGAAGAATTGAGTGCTGAAAGACCAGCAGAATGAACACTGTCTCTGTTGTTTTGAGTTGTGCGCAGACTCTATACTTCGCAAATTTGTGATTTTTAAATAGGCTTTTGGATTTAAGGGAAAACTCTGCAAGAGACTGCTTCACTGTTGCATTTCTTCGATGTTTACTTTTATCTGTGTGTTTAAATGAGCCAGTGCTTCCTGGGTTTATTCAAGAGAGCTACCCTGTGCATCCAAGTAACAGGAATTGTAAGGGGTAAGGACAAGGGTTGATTTTCTTCTTCAGAAGAGGTCTCCCTATGGACAGCCCTGGGTGGACTGGGACTTTCTGACAGGACGGCTTTGTCTCTGGAGTGTGGGGATTACTGGCGTGCATCACCACACCGGGAAGGACTTTTAAAAGTGAAATTTGGTTAAGGAACTTAATGTCTATAATATTCTATACCTGTCTTTTAGGACCAGTGTGAAGTAACCAACCCACTGTGAGTCTCGGTTATGGTTTGGCCAGGGAGGCAACCCTTACATACATATGCTGATGTAAATCCCCAATAGGTTCTCACATCTCAAGTAGGCTTCTTTCTATTTCCAAGTTGTCATGGTTATGTGTTCCTTGTAATATTTCTTTTTTAATTACCTTTTTGCTTGTAATTTTTCATAATTATTTATTGATCTGTTTTGTGCGTGCATGTGTGTGGTGTGCATGTGCCATCAGAGGGAGTCAGGTCTCTCCCTTGTACCACGTGGGTCCCAGGGAATGAACTCCAGTTTGGCAGCCCCATATTAATATTCATAATGTGCTGTATCGATGTCCTCATTTCCCAGCTTGGCATTTTTGCTGCAGAGGTTATGAACAGGCTTATATCTGGTTAATACAATTAGTTCTTGATACGGCTGGCCAGTAGATAGTGAATTGTCCTCTTAGCTTTGGGGACCAGAGTGAAAAGGAGCCTGCACAGTTGGGAGGATTCCCTGCAGAGATGCTGGCAGAGCTCCCCATCAGTGTTTACCGAGGATGTTTGATCAGCTCTCCTGGTGGCCCTCAATCCGGAGAGCTCTGCCCCTCCAGGAATGCTGCTTCCTGATTCTAAGTGCTGGAGTGTCCTCTCATACAGCCGCTAATGGGTCCTCCTTTCCCTTCCAGACATGACGCTCCTCTCTTCCCAGTCTTCGTCCCTGGCCGCCCCCTCGGGGTCTGTGTCCCCTGAAAAGCCTGAGCAGAGGATGCTGGAGAAGAGAGCCAAGGTTGTGGCTGAACTTGTGCAGACGGAAAAAGACTACATCCGGGATCTGGAGATGTGCATCGAGCGGGTCATGGTGCCCCTGCAGCAGGCACAGGTGGGAGATGGGCGGCAGCCTGACAGTGTGGTCCTTTAGGCCTGAGGTGCTGGGATGGGACAAGGCTGTGACATCAGACCGAGTGGCTCAGTGGTGAGGGAGGCACACAGTTTCAGGGTTTAGCCCGCGGTTGGCTGGCGCCATTGCTTTTGAGCGAAGCAGCAGTCGCGGCAGGGACTGTGCTTAGAACAAACGCAGGGAGTAAGCAGGAGCTGCTCCCTCTGGTACCCAGGAAGCAGAGTGAGAAGGGGCGGGGCCTCAGCTCCCTCCTCAGTGACCTAACTTCCTCCAGGTAGTCACCACCTGCTGAAAGACCCACCTCCTGGTAACCCCACAGGCCTTTAACACCCATGAGCCCAAGGGGCACACTCTGGAGCTAGAGCCCACCTTAGGTAGGAACAAAGGATGATGCCATAGATGGTGCCGGATGCCCCCGTTCTGGGCGGCAGTGAGTGAAGCAGGCGACTTTGGAGAACACCGAGTGATGTTTTTCATTTCCCTGCATCTTGATGCTCTGCTTCTCTTGCTCAGGTACCCAACGTTGACTTCGAGGGGCTTTTTGGAAATATGCAGACGGTGGTTAAAGTCTCAAAGCAGTTGCTGGCAGCCTTGGAAATCAGCGATGCTGTAGGTATGAGCTCACCAGCAGCTGTTTCCGGCGCGGGTGTGGTTGGGGAGGGAGCCCTTCAATGACCAGGTGGTGTACAAGGGGAATGACATTTGACACGGTGCTGAGGTCGTGTGGGCCCTGCTTTCTCTCTTCCTTCAGTCTGCCTTGATGCGGTTAGTGTCTTAGCAGTCGAAGTTTTGGGTGTCATAGATAGGATGGTCTTCAGGCTGGAGAGTCAGGAGATCAACTTAGAGGAGCACATTCACCATTTCAATAAGATGAACAGAAAACATCGGAATATGCTATAGCACTAGCTTATCTACTTATTTATTAACATCAGAATATGCTATAGCACTAGCTTATCTACTTATTTATTTATTGAAGCATTTACTCCAGTTCTATGTTATGTGTTCTATTGGTGATTTACAGTGCATTTGTTGCTAGGATGTCCTGCGCAGGTGGTAGTTGTTGTTATTGGGGAAAGGGAGCAAAGGGAGGGGTAGGTGTTGGCCAACTGGGAACAGAGATGGAAGGGGAGGGGGGCAGGTGGGAGGCGCTCACTTAAAAGGGGAAGCTTGCACATTCGTAGATCCTTATGCAGCCACCTAATACATGACGTAGCCATGCAACTCAGGGCCCTTTGAGCTGTCTAAGTATCTGCCTGAATGCCCGTGTGTGTACCCTGTCAGGTGTCAGGGGCCGGGGAGTCATAATGTCAGGATAGCAATAGTGGTGACAGGAAGATCAGAAGTTCAAGATCATTCTCAGCTCCATAGCAAGTTGAAGGCCAGCCTGGGCTACATGAGAAATCCTGTCTCAAAATTTTAAGTCTTTTTGTGGAAATTATAAAAAAATATTCAAAGAAACTTCATCTGATTCTTTTTTTTGTTTGTTTGTTTTTTTGTTTTTACAAGACAGGGTTTCTCTGTATTGTTTAGGAGGCTATCGGTCCAGCCCGGCCTCGAACTCACAGAGATCTGCCTGCCTCTGCCTCCCGAGTGCTGGGATTAAAGGCGTGCGCCACCAACGCCCGGCTTCATCTGATTCTTATACCCAAGGAGACTTATCCATTACCTTTGCCCCATATAAGTGGACACTTAGCAACTTTAATCAGTAAACTACACCTTTAGGTTCGGTGGGTGGGGACTGGAAGGGGCTAAGACGGGCAGCTCTAGCTTAGGGTTCTCCTGGCGTTGGCGCTGGCGTTGGCGCTGGGCTGTTGGCCTGACCTGCTGTCTTGGGTCTCAGGCTCCATGCCTTGTCACAGAGCCTCTCTGTGGACTCTCCTCATAATGGATGAGTCCAGCACCATCAAAGGGAGCCAGGAAATCTGGGACAGGAGGGTCTCAGAAGGGTCCCTCCATCCCTTATGCCATACTCTGCTGGGATGTCATGAGAGGGGATATACTATAATGTTGCTGTTTTAATAGAAACACATATAAGCCCTTCACATTTGAGCTGTCCCATTGAACTCAACAACATCTAGCAAGGGGCCCCTCTATCATTTTAAGAGTGTCATTTTAGCTGGGGATGGAGTACCCTGCAGTCCTAGCACTTGGAAGCACAAGCAGGAGCATTGAATCAGGTTTTGGGCCAGCCTGGTCTACATAGTGAGTTCCAGACCAGCCAGAACTACATAGTGAGACCTCATTCCAAACAGAGAAGAGTGACATTTTAATTACAGACCTTTCCAGAACCCCATCTGGTTTCCCTTTGCCGTTGTCTGGTGGTAGTTGCCATGCCTGTGCCTAAACTGTCTGCTAGAAAGAGTGGCGTTGTACTGCTGCGTTTACCTGACTTCCTAAGGCTGTCATCAAAGTAGAGACAGGGCCTGCCCTTCTTAGGGCGGGGACAGGCCATGAGGTGAGGCAGCCTGGCTGGATCTCAGAGGTTTAGGCGTCCTAACCATTTTTACACATGAGAACAGTAAGAAGGAAGTTTACCCGAGGTCATGTGGCTCATAAGTCAACCTCAGGTTTTGGTCATTCGGGCTCACACAGTTAAGCTCAGTTATACAGAATACATTGTATGCTAGCTTAGTGCTGTTGAGGGGACAGAAAGCTGGGGACCTTGCTGTTAGGGAGGTGAGGAGAGAACACATGCTGGAGTTGTGGTAACCCAGCTTGGATTCAGTAATAAGACATGAAGGCCAGTGTGTGTAAGAACTTGCATGCATTTGGAGTACCTGCAGGTGATTATTTGAAATAGGAAAAAGAATGAGACATTTAGCTGACATCTAGGGAGGATTAATTACTCATTCTTCTCCCACTTTGTTCCTTTATGTGTTATGTTTGGGCCCTCAGGTGGTCCTTGCCTCACCAGAGTGACGTCCCCCTCTGCTCCCATTTACGCCATAGGTTGTAACGAGTCTTTGTCTGTCCTGCCAGCCAGCTCTCAGATAACAACACAGACTTCTTATTAATTATGAAAGCTCCATGTTAGCTTAGGCTTGTTCCCGACTAGCTCTTATAACTTATGTTAACCCGTTTCTATTAATCTTGTAGCTTTTACCTCTCCTCCTGAATGTCCTGCTTTCTCTGTATCTCGCTGCCTTTCTTCCTCCCGAAGTCCTCTCTGTCCCCAGAAACCCCACCTAACCTCTTTCTGCCTAGCTATTGGCCACACAGCTCTTTATGAAACTAATCACAGGAACACATCTTTGCCTGGTATAAAGGGATATTCCATAACAAAAGATGCCTGGGTACCAGCTGGGGTTTGGGGCTTGAGGGGCAGCTCTCTTAGATGATGGGTAGTGAGAGCTTGTGGTGACGGTGGGCAGACACAGTAGAACTCAGATGGCCACATGATCAAGAGGGTCCCCATACAAGTAGCATCTCAGAGTGTGGAGTGCTCGCCCCTTCCTGGGTCCTCAGGTGAGGACAGTGAGGTGTCCCTTGTGAACTGGGACGTTTAAGGAGTTCTTGCAAGGGGAGCTTTGCCCTAAAGTTTGTGACAGTTGCTTCTGGGCTGAGGTAGTTTTTGTCTCCTAGAACTTTCCAGTTCAAGATGTCATACTCTTTTTTTCCCTCTCTTTTTTTTAAAATTATTTTTATAATTTTTTTATTTAGAAACAATCTTATTTTGCATATCAACCCCCACCCAATTCCCTCTCCCTCCCATCCTTCCATGCCTCCTACTGACTCCCCCAATCTACTCTTCACCCATTCCCCAAGGATAGTGAGGCCTTCCATAGGAGCTCATCAAAGTCTGTCACATCATTTGGGGGGAGGGCCTAGACCCTCTGTGTATCTTAGCTGAAATAGTATCCCTCTACAGAGAATGAGCTCCCAAAGTCCATTTGTGCACTAGGGATAAATACTGCTCCACTGTTAGAGGTCCCATACACTGCCCAGGCCTCTAACCGGCACCCACATTCAGAGGGCTTGTTTCGGTCCAATGCTGGTTTCCCAGCTTAATGACTGGGGTCCCTGTGTGTTGGCTTCAACGGACGCTGTAACGATACGCGACACACAATTACTGAAAGTAACGCTAAGTATTTTATGTAGAAAATTACTCACAAGTTACCAAACCCAGAGAAGCCCAGCAGATCTCAGCTAGCGACTGGACCGGAAGCCGAACTCCAGGAAAAGAGAGCGAGACTTCCTGTGCGCTGTCTTTTATGCCTTCCCCCGTAACGCCCCCTAGCCATGCCCAAAAGTGGGCCTGGCTAGTGACGTAGTTCCGCCTACATACGTATACGTCTTTACGTCCAGCCGTATACGTCTTTAGTCCTGCCTAAAGTGGGTGTGGTTAGCGGTGTGGTAAACCGCCCTTTTATTACCTCATCTGTATGCGCCTCTAGTAAGTCACATGTTTAATGGCGGCATAGACTTAGTAAGTCACATGTTTAATGGCGGCATAGACTTCCTCCTACACCTGTGCTCTCATTAGATCAGGTCAGCTGTTTCTGTGGGTGTCTCCAGCATGGTCTTGACTGCTTTGCTCATCCTCCCTCCCTCTCAACAATTGGATTCCAGGAGTATGGCTCAGTGTTTAGCTGTGGGTGTCTGCTTCTGCTTCCATCAGCTACTGGATGAAGGCTCTAGGATGGCAATTAAGGTAGTCATAGATCTCATTATAACAGAAGGGCATCAAAGGTAGTCTCTCCACTACTGCGTAGATTCTTAGTTGGGGTCATCTTTGTGAATCTTTGAACAGTTCCCTAGTGCCAGATTTCTCCTAACCCTGTACTGGCTCCCTCTATTATGGTGTCTCTTTTCTTGTTCTCCTCTATTCTTCCCCCGACTCAGTCTTCCTGATCCCTCATGTCCTCCTTCCTCCTCTTATTCTCCCCTTCTCTTTTTCCTACCTCCTTCCCCACTCCCCCCATGTTCCCAGTTTTCCCAGGAGATCTTGTCTCTTCCCCCTTCTTTGGGGGATCATGTGTTTCTCTCTTAGGGTCCTCCTTGTTTCCTAGTTTCTCTGGAGGTGTGGATTGTAGGCTGGTAATCCTTTGTTCTATGTCTAATATCCATATGTGATTCTGTGTCTGGGTTACCTCACACAGGATGGTTTCTTCCAGTTCCATCCATTTGCCTGTGAATTTCAAGATTCCATTGTTTTTGTTTTTGTTTTTTTTCTGCTGAGTAATACTCCATTGTGTAAATGTACCACATTTTCTCCATCCATTCTACAGTTGAGGGGCATCTAGATTGCTTCCAGGTCTGGCTATTACAAACAACGCTGCTGTGAATATAGTTGAGCATATGTCCTTGTTGTATGAATGTGCATCCTTTGGGTAGATGCCCAAGAGTGGAATTGCTGGATCTTGAGCTAGACTGATACCCATTTTCCTGAGAAACTGCCATAGTGATTTCCAAAGTGGCCGTACAAGTTTGCAGTCCCATCAAAAATGGGGAAGTGTTCCCCTTTCTCCACATCTTCTCCAGCATAGAGTGTCATTGGTGTTTTTGATTTTAGCCATTCTGACAGAAGTGAGATGGTGTCTCAGAGTTGTTTTGATTTGCACTAACACAAAATATCCAGGAAATAAGGGACACCATGACAAGAGTCACACTTTTAAGTGATAGGTGTTGGCCCTACAAGGTGTTTGAGTGGATCTCTGAGCTACACTGTCTCTCAGAGTGTGTACATTAGAACAACAACAGAGTGAGGAATTACAATAACCACGGCCCCACCTTAATACGCTACAGTAAACACAGACAGTGTTTGTTTTCAGTTCTTCCTTTCATTCTCGCTGAAGGCAGTTGTGGGACAGTAGTCTGGCCTTAGAGAGGGAAAGGCTCAGATCCAGGCAGAAGGTCAGCCTCGGGAGGAGGGTCAGGGGAAGCTAGCAGTGACATGGGAGGGAGCTGGGAGAGCCTCAAGGCCAGCCCTCAAGCTGCCCTCAAGCCCGTGTCTTCAGGAGGAAGCCAACGGAAAGAAACTGAGCATCTGATGAGGGGAGGGTCTTTGAGGCCAAGAGAGGGAAATTAAAGCCTTGTGAAGCTATTAATAAATTACACAGCTAGAAGGAATGAAGTAAAGAGGAAGAATTCTTTTACTAATGCAGAGAGTTGAGTCAGCTGCTCCGAAAGAAGCCTGTGGGTGGGAGAAATGGCATCATCACAGTTAGGGTTCCTGCTAAGTGTTTCACAAGTGCTTGTCATGCCAGCATCCGGGGCTCTGATGCCGTCTTCTGTCCTCTGTGACTACCACAACGTGCCCACACACATAAATAAAATAAAAAAAATCACTGGGTAGACCACCTAGCCTATGAATAGACTTCCCAGAGTCTGTGAACCTGGATAGAAAAGAAACCTCACCTCTTTATTTACAGTTACTGATTTCTGGCTGAACTGTAACATTTGCCTGCAGTGTGACTACAGGGAAAACAGTAACCCGTGATTTGTCACTAACTGCCACATCTGTTCATTTCATCTTAGACTGTTTCATTTATCTTGAGTCTCAGTCCTACTCAAGCAGACATAAATGCTCTGTCATAGAGTGGACATGTAGAGGGGGCCAAGCTCATTGCTGCCCCTCCCCCATCGATGAGCAAGCACACTCGAGGGCCTGGAGTGATGGCTGGGGTAGCAAGCACTTGCTTCCTTACATACAGGACCTGGGTTTGATTCCCAGCACCCACATGATGACTCACAACTCTCTATAACTCCACTTTCAAGGCATCTGATTCCCTCTTCTGGCCTCCACGGCACCAGACACACACATGGTGCATATACATTCATGCAGCCAAACACTTAAGAACTAAAAATTTTAAAAAGTAATAATGCAGTGGTGGCTCACACCTTTAATCCCAGCACTTCAGAGGCAGAAGCAGGCTTTTCTCTGTGACTTTGAGGCCAGCCTGGTCTACAAAACCAGTTCCAGGATAGCCAGAACTGTTACATAGGGAGACCCTGTCTCAAAAAACCAAAATAGGGGCTGGAGAGATGGCTCAAAGGTTAAGATCACTGGCTGCTCTTCCAGAGGTCTTAAGTTCAATTCCCAGCAACCACATGGTGGCTCACAACTATCTATAGTGAGATCTGGTGCCCTCTTCTGGTGTGCAGGCATACGTGCAGCACTGTATAAGAATAAATAATAAACCTTTAAACAAACAAACAAAGTTTAAGGATAAAAGAACAAAAACATATATTGCAGGTTGAAGCTTTTAGTAATAGATATTTAAAATAGTATAGTAAATTGCATTTGTATACCTTTATGCTATGGAGGAATTTTTTTTAACCTTGTGCAGATGTTCCTGGACAGTATAGAGCAAAGGGCCACGTGACCTAATCACATGACCACTTGGAGAGTGTTTTCAGAATGTGTAAATACATGTTCTGAAAAATAAATACATGGGTGACATAGCTCTCTCAATTGTGGCATAAACGATTTCTAATTTAGTGTTACAGGAGTGTTATTAATTTGATGGATATGTCTTATTATCAGGTGAACTTGCATGGCCATAATAATAGTTGATATGCTTTTGATTTAGGATGCTAAGGATAGTCCTGACATTAGTGTGTGTTTGTGTATGCTCCAAAGGACCTGTGTTTCTTGAACAACGGGATGAACTTGAGGGAACATATAGGGTTTACTGCCAGAACCACGATGAAGCCATTTCACTGCTAGAAATCTACGAGAAGGATGAGAAGATCCAGAAACACCTGCAGGCCTCCTTGGCCGATCTGAAGTAGGAGATTTGATGGGCCCGCCCCTGCTGTTGCTCTCACGCTGCCTTTTAGATGTCCCCATGCTTTCAGTATCTACCTGCCAACCTTGTTTTACCCTTAAGTGACTCATTATCATGTGTCCTGTGTTGTATCTCACTCCTTTCCATTATGTCATGGAAATCTAAGTGACTTCCTGATGGTATCGCTTGGCATCCATGGTTTCCTTCTGTCCCGTGGCTTTTATCTGCTGAGTGGACTTGTGGGAATAGTGAGAAGATCAATGCCGTCTCTAATACACTCTTTTTTTCCCTCCTGCTTCCGCCCTGTAGGAGCCTGTACAACGAATGGTAAGTCCCCTCCCCTCTCCTGGTACACACGCCATTTGTTCAGTGGATTCTTCCAGCCCTTAGAAGGCTGCTTCCATGTCTTTATAGACAGAAATCTAGACATGCTTTGTCATGATTTTTCATAGCACTTACCACCAAATGCCACTTTATTTATTCGTTTGCTTAGCGCTTGTTTCCTTCCACTACGGCAAGGGTATCTTTTGGTTGCTGTTAAGCACCTATAGCAGTGCTTAGTAATTTTCAGGTGCCCGGTAATGCCGCCATGCACCATATAGCACCTTTCACTCAGTGGTTAGCCGCCGTATGGTGCCAGTGGTCCCCGAAGTGCATATTCCCTTGGGGCGTCCTGGCTGTCTCACTGTGTATAGTACGTTTTGTGGAATTAGTACAATATAGTCACTTACATCGCATATCTCAGAGCATGGCCATCACTCTGTGGTTTAGGACTGTGCCTGTCGAATAAATGAAAACAGAATTCGGAGTTGAAGTCCCAACTGTCTTTAGGGATAGCAGACGATATCCAGCATTGGCAGTTGAATGGAGTCCGTTTTGCTTTCTTTTACAGGGGATGCACCAACTATATCAACCTGGGCTCCTTCCTCATCAAGCCCGTGCAGAGAATAATGCGTTACCCGCTGCTACTAATGGAGTTGCTGAACTCTACCCCAGAGTCCCACCCGGATAAAGTGCCTTTAACTAATGCAGTGCTTGCCGTCAAGGAGATCAACGTCAACATTAATGAGTACAAGCGTCGGAAGGATCTAGGTGAGAAAGGCCCAGTCACTGTGAAGGAGCTTTCTAGGCTGCCAGCCCCTGCCAGCCCCGCCCTCGGAGAAAGGTTTTCTCTAAAGAATTACTTCCCAAGAGTTGGGGGGGGGGGGGGCTAGGTGTGATGGGGCCAGGAGGAGCAAACCGTGATGGAATGCGGGGCAGCTGCGGTCTGATAAGACAAGGCGATGGTAAGAGCACCCCTCTAGACAGTTGGGAACAAGGAAGGGATGATTAAGCAGTAAGCAGTGGGGCAGACAATGCCCCTGCAGGAGGACTAGACCGCTGATTCTCAACCTGTGGGTCGAATGTTAGATATCCTGCATATCAGACATTTACATTATGGTTGATAACACTAGCAGCATTGCAGTTATGTGGTAGAAATGAAATAGTTTTATGGCTGGGGTCACCACAGCGTGAAGAACTGTATTAAAGGGTGGCAGCCTTAGGAGGGCTGGGAACACTGGACTGGGCCGTGGTGATGTGGGTGGGGGCGGGGTTCTTCATCACACACTGTCCTGCCAGGTCCTCTAAAGCAAGCCTTCTCAACACCTGCGTAGGTCATTTTCCATCTCATTTAATTCAAGTTTCACGCTACCTACTAAATTCAGGCTTTTTGTCTTAAAAAACCCCCAGCCACTCCCTCCCCTCAGACTCTTGTTACCATCTGTGCCCAGTGACCTTCTCTCTGATAGGAGCCCTCATCTCCCTCCCAGCCCTGTGCAGTCATCTGACTGGGATGCCCACTCGTTCCCTCATAGGATGAGCTGAACTGTTTCTTTCTGTCACAGCTTTTACTGAGCACTCTACAGGCGTGGCATGGTGACTGCACTGAGTCAGGGGGCAGGGTCGGTGGCGTAGACGTCTCCGCCTTCTCCCTGCTCTTTTGTGCACTGTGCTGGAGTTAGAGCGGCTTACATGAGAATCCCACTCGCTGCCTTTGCCTGCGGTGGCTTTAGGTGCTCTCTGCCGTTAGAGCCCTTCCTGTAGGGTCAGCCTCCTGATGTGATGTATATGTCAATAAAGCACTGTTGGCCAATAGGGAAGCAAGATAGGTGGGACTAGGAGTCTTCTACCGCCCCACCTCCACCATGCCCACCAACTGTAGTCTCCAGACCTCTCTGCAACTCTGCCTAAAGTACGATACAGCGGCTTCCCTATGTGAGACCATTGTATGTAAATATCTCCTTTGTATGCTCAACCATCATATACTAACAGTACATGGCTCAAAAATACTAAGCCCGAAGAGATAAAACGGCTTTTATAAAGCTGATCCTTGATTAGCGACAGACCTGAGCATCGAACTCACAGATGTCCCTGGTCCCCAGCCTTACACCTCTGCTACCTTCCCTCCTATCCCCACCCTTTCCCTGGCTGCCAGTCTCTTTCTACCTGGCAGCCACACCCCTGTCTAGACTGGTTCTTTGGACTAAGATGTTGGCTGCTCAGTTATAAGTTATCAAAGACAAGTACTCATTCCTGTGTAGAGAGAAGCCTTTTCCTTGCCAGCCACTTCGGTTTTTCCCCACCAGTCGCCTGGGCTCTGCCACATTATAATCCCCAAATAACACACAAGACGCTGTATTAATTATGAAGCTGTTGGCCTTGATTGTTTCTTACTGGCTATCTCTGACTTAAGTAATTACCCCATAATTGTTAATCTAAGTATTTCTCTTACCGGAGAATGGGTCTGGACTTCTTATCCCTATGGCAGCTACATCGTGACTCCCTGTGTTTCTCCTACCCAGAGTCCTCCTGGACTCCTAGTCCCACCTATCTTGCTTCTCTATTGGCCAACTGTGCTTTATTGACATATACACAGGACTTACCCATCATTCCTGTTTGGGTTAATTTCATTTTATGGTCATTTTTAGAGAAACCTCTGTTTCTGGGCTGGTAGGCCCGTTGAGCTCACCCTGAGAGGGGCGTTTTTGACCAGTGTCCTTGGCTTGCATCCTAGTGCTTAAGTACCGCAAAGGTGATGAAGACAGCCTCATGGAGAAGATCTCCAAGCTGAACATCCACTCCATCATCAAGAAGTCCAACCGGGTCAGCAGCCACCTGAAACACCTCACTGGCTTCGCTCCTCAGGTGAGCCCCAGGCTTGCTGGCCCAGCACGTCTGACAGCTCTGCAGAGCCCTGGGGACAGCTGCTGGCATGGGTTGGCACAGGCCCCTTCTTAGTGCCTCCTCTGGCTTTGCCAGTTAGTGGAGATAGGTCCCTGCAGCTACTGTTTATAATGTGCACAGAGGCAAATTTAGGAGGCCAGCTGATCAGCCCATAATTGTTACTGTGGTCTTCAGGCCTCTAAGACACTGAGAGTCTGTTTGGAGAACCTGATCCACAGTGCAGACGCATAAGCTCAAAGGGATTTAAGAGATCATAGAAGGAGGCCGTGTGCTATGAAGCGGGGAACATGAAAGTAGGAGACTGAGCAATTTGAACTACAGTTGGGCAGTTGCAGACCTGGAAGTCTCCAGACTTCATTCTGTACGCCATGTACAGATGGTAACGGGTGGAAAAGATACTCCAGGAGGGACTCACTCTCCACATGTCACTCACTGTGTCAGAACACTGACGTACTTAAACAGGAGTTCAGTGAAAGCACACTTCTTCATCTAAGTTCATCCGAGCCTCAATGAGGAGGAAGCAGGGGAGGGGCTGCAGGGCTGGAGCATGCTCCCAGGAGTAGAGAGGACAGCAGTCCAACCGGGACACAGTGGGAAGTCAGTTTGGAAGTAGGCAGGGTAGGCAGGTCCACACGTGTTTTAGAATTTAGAGTTAGAGAGGCAGCATCCGGTGGGTGTGAGAGAGAGAGAGAGAGTTTGGAAGTAGGCAGGTGTGTGTGTGTGTTTGGAATTAGGCAGGTCCACTGTGTTTCAGAATTCAGAGTCATAGAGGCAGGCATCCAACTCAGTTTGATGTGATTAAGGAAACAACAAGTTTACACTTTTTGGTGAAAGATGTTTCTAAGATATTCTTGCCAATAAGGTCTACTGAGAGAAAGTCCAAAATTTCTAAAAACACTCCTTTATGAACAGCTGAAAGATGAAGTATTTGAAGAGACAGAAAAGAACTTCCGGATGCAGGAGAGACTGATTAAATCTTTTATCCGAGACCTGTCCCTCTACCTCCAGCACATCCGGGTGAGTGTCAACAGGGCTGCAGCCAGGGTCCCTCTTCCTCCTCAGACCCGCTCACAGCGCGCTATTTAACAAAAGTGATCTGGACGGGATGACCACTCTTCTACATTTTAGAAGATACGCACTTTATCTCTTTTCTTTTACTGACAAGCATATTTTGATTATGGTTTCTACACTCTTCACTCCCCAGTTCCTCCTCACCTTCCCGCCCATCTGGTCCACCCTCTTTCTGTCTCTCCTTAGGAAACAGTCATCTAAGAAATAATAATAAAATATAGTAAGATGAAACAAAAATAGGCTAATCGGAATAGGATAAAACAAACAGAAAGAAAAGGTAAAAGAAACAGAGAAATATTTGTTACCACAATCAGGAATTCCATAAATCACAAAATCTGTAGGACTTAAAAATAAATAAATATAAAACCTAAAATAAATAATAATAATAATAAAGCTCTGACGTGACATTATAAGACTAGGAACCCATAGATACCATTTTGTTTCTTTGCCGTTGGCCATCTACTGCTGGGCATGTGGCCTACCCCTAAGTGTAGTTTGTTTCTCCAGTGAGGTGCCCTTGGAGAAAATTCATTTTTCATTTGTAGGTAGTCATCAGTTGGGAATATGGGGGCTTGTGTCCACTTCTCTAGACCCATGCAGGGCCTTGGCATGCTGCCTCAGTGTCTGTGAGTCCACAAGTGTCAGTCTGCTGTGTTTGTTTAGAAGGTTTGTTTCCTCGGTGTCCCTTCATCCCCTCTGGCTCTTATACCTCCCAAGTCCTCTTCCTCAGTGTTCCCTGAGCCCTGAGGGGAGGGATTTGATGGTGACATGAGGTTTAGGGCTGAGTGATCTGAGGTTTCTCACTCTGCATGTCATCTGGCTGTGAGTCTGTTGGCATCTGCTGCAGGAGGAAGCGTCTCTGACGATGGCTGGGCACGCCACTGATCTATGAGGACAGCAGAGTGTCATCAGGAGTTATTTTATTGCTGGCTTCCTTTTGTAGAACAGTAGTATTTGATGTCCCCCTAGATCCCTGGGCTATCTGCTCTGATGATCTTGGCCACCGAGCAGCATCAGCTGTCTCATGGAGTGGGCCTTAGATCAAATCTGGTATTGCTTGGTTACTCCCATAAGCTGTGTGCCACCACTGCGCTGGGGTATCTTTCAGGGAGGGCACGTGTAGATTGAAGGGTTTGTAGCTGAGAAGGTGTTTATGTGTCGTAGTGTGCAGAGTGCTTTCCAGTACAAAGAACACTGGCCAGTAGAAGTGAAGGCTGTAGTCAGGTTGCAGCCTGACTCCTCCATGTTCAATGAGTTGTATAAGTATTATTTTCAACGATAAGGTCTCATCATCAATTTGTGGAGAGTCTTTGCAACAACGTGTGTTGTTTGGGGGTTCCCATGGCACCCCTTTGGCCAACAACTTGATTAGCTATAACCCATTCCTAGTACTGAAGCGTGATGAGTTTCCCCTGTTACTTGGTGATTTCATTCAGATCACTACCTTCATTATATGCACATCATTTAGGAAGCTTCTACTGTGTTTGGTTTCTGTGTGAACCCTCAAACAGCCCTTACTTTTAGCTGTCCGTCCCTTACCCCCTCCCCCTCCTTGTTGATCTTGTTCCAGCCCATCCCCTGTCCGTCTGCCCCCCCCCCCACTGCTGCCACCTCAGTCTATCCGTAACCATTCTGTTTCCCCTTCCTAGGACGATGTGTCCCTCCCCCGAGTCCCTTACTGCACACCTAACCTCTGTGGTTCTACCTTTGTAGCTTGCTTATCTAACTTAACAGCTAAAATCCAGATATTAGCAAATATTTGTCTTTCTGGGTCTGGGTTACCTCACTCAGGATGATTTTTTTTTCTAGTTCTTCACTTGGGATGATTTTTTTTTCTAGTTCCACCCATTTACCTGTTCATACTTTGATTTCGTTTTTTTTAAAACAGCACAGTAATATTCCATCGTGTAAATATACCACATTTTTTGTCCATTCATCCATTGGTGGATGTCTAGGTTATTCCCAGTTTCTGACTGTTATGAATAGAAAAGCAATGAACGTGGTTGTGCACGCGTCTCTGTAGAAGGATGAAGCATCCTTTGGGTATATGCCCAAGAGTGGTGTATCTGGATGGACTCCCATCTTTCTGATGAACTGCACTCTGATCTCCATAACAGCTGTGTGAGTTTGCACTCACACCAACAACGGAGGCTGTTCCCCTAGCTCCATGTCCTCACCAGTGTGAGCTGTCACTTGAGTTACTGACCGTTAGCCATTCTGACTAGTGTAAGATGGAATCTCAAAGTAGTTTTAAATTGCATTTCCCCGGTGACTAAGAATGTTGAACATTTCTTTATATGTTTCTCAGCCATTTGAGTTTCCTCTTTGGAAAATTCTCTGTTTAGATCTGCAGCCCATTTTTAAATTGAGTTTTTTTTTAAGGGTTATTTGTTTTTTTGATGTCCAGTTTTTTGTGTGTGTGTGTGTGTGTGTGTTCTTTATATATTTTGAATATTAGCTCTCTACCAGCTGTGGAGCTAGTAAAAATCTTTTCCATTCTGTAGGCTGCCACTTTGTCCAATGATGGTGTCCTTTGCTATGTAGACACTTTAAAGTTTCACATTTATTAATTACTGATATTAGTGCCTGTGCTAATGGTGTTCAGTTCAGACACTCTTGTCCTGTGCCATATCCCCCACTTTCTCTTCTGTCAGATTCAGTGTATCCGGATTTATGTTGACATCTTTGGTTCCACTTGGGCTTGAGTTTTGTGCAGGGTGATAGATATAGATCTATTTGCATTCTTCTACATGCTGACATCCAGTTAGACCAGCACCATTTGTTGAAAACACTGTCTTTTTCCCAGTGTGTATTTCTGGCTTTATCAAAAAATTAGGTGTCCATAGGTGTGTGGATTACTGTCTGGGGCTTTCTCCAGTTGGATTCCATTGACCAATGTGTCTGTTTTTGTACCAGTACCGTGCTGTTTTTATTACTATAGCTCTGTGGTATGACTTGAAATCAAGGATGATGACACGTCTAGTAGTTCTTTGATTACTCAGGATGATTTTATCTGAAAATAGTCATTTCAAGATCTGTGAAGAATTGTGTTGGAATTTTAATGGGGATTGCATTGAATCTGTAGAATGGTAAGATGGCTTTTTCTAATGGTTTATTTTTATTTTTATGTGCATTGGTATTTTGCCTGTATGCATGTCTGTGTGAAGGTATCCGATCTCCTGGAGCTGGAATTACAGGCATTGGTGAGCTGCCATGTAGGTGCAAGTCTTTCACTTGCTTGGTTAGAGTTACCCCAAGATGTTAGTATTTTCTGAGGCTGTTGTGAAGGGTATTGTTTCCCTGATAACTTTCTTAGCACATTTGTCATTTGTATAGAAGAGGGCTACTGATTTTCATGAGTTAATTTTGTATCCTGCTACTTTGTTGAAAATGTTTATCAGTTGTAGGGGTTTCTTGGTGAATTTTTTGGAGTCACTTACGTATACTATCATGTCATCTGCATATAAAGATAATTTGACTTCTTTCCAATTTGTATCCCCTTGATCTCCTTCAGTTGTCTTATTGCTCAAGTAACATACAATGGGTATGGAGAAAGTGAGCAACCTTGTCTTGTTCCTAATTTCAAGCAATATTGCTCTGAGTTTCTCTCCATTTAAGTTGGTGTTAGCTGTTGGCTTGCTATAAACTGCCTCTGTTATGTTTAAGTGTGTCCATGTATCCCTGATCTCCCCAGGACTTTTATCATGAAGGGGTGTTGGATTTTTGTCAAAGACCTTTTCTATATATACTGAGATGATCATATGGGTTTTGTCTTTCAGTGTGTTTATATGGTGGATTACACTTACTGATTTACATATGTTGCTCCATCCTTGCATCTCTGGGATGAAAGCTACTTAATCATGGTGGAAGATCTTTTTGATGTGTTCTTGGATTCAGTTTACAAGTATCTTGTTGAGAATTTTTGCATCTGTTCCTAAGGAAAACTGGTCTGTAATTTTTGTTATTAGGTTTTTATGTTTAAGGTTTAGGTATCTGGGTAACTGTGGCCACACAAAATGGATTGGGCAGTGCTTCTTCTGTTTCTATTTTGTGGAATAATATGAGAAGTCTTGGCATAACTCTTGGCTTAACTCTTCTTTGAAAATTGGTAGAATTCTGCACTAAATCCATCTGGCCCTGGGCTTTTTTTTTTTGGTTGGGAGCCTTTTAATGACTGGGGCTTGTAGGTCTGCTTAAATTGTTTATCTGGTCTTGATTTAACATTGGTAAGTGGTATATATCAAGAAAATTACCCATATCTTTTAGATTTTCCAGTTTGGTAGAGCACAGGTTTTTAAAGTATATTCTTAGGATTCTCTAGATTTCCTTGGTGTCTGTTGTGTCTCCGTTTTCATTTCTACTTTTGTTAATTTAGATATGGGCATGTCAGTCTTACTGATTTTCTCAAGGACACCAACTCTTTGTTTCATTTGTCCTTTGTACTGCTCTTAGTTTGTTTCTGTTTTATTAATTCCAGCTGTGAGTTTGATTGTTCCCTGCTGTCTACTTGTTTAGGGTGTGATTTCTTCTTTTTGTTCTAGATCTTTCTGAGGTGCTATTAAGTTACTAGCATGGGAATCCTTCAGTTTCTTTATGTAGGCACTTAGTGCTGTGAATTTGCCTCTTAGCACTTCTTTTATTGTGTGTGTTATCTTTTCATTTTCATTCAATTCTAGATTTCTTTCTAAGTTGCTGTCTTGGCCCAGGATTCACTCAGCAGTGAGTTGTTCAGTTTCCAGGAGTTTGTGGGCTTTCTGCTGTCTCTGTTGTTGACATCCAGCTTTAACCCATGGTGGTCAGAAAGGACACGGGGGTTTGTATTTGTTTTTTTCCAATTTTCTTGCAGCTGTTGAGACTTGCTTTGTGTCCGAGTATGTGGTCAAACTGGAGAAAGTTCCATGAAGTGCCGAGAAGAAGGTGTATTCTTTTGTGCTTGGTTGAAATGTTCTATAAATATCTATTAGGTACATTTGGTTTATGACATCAGTTAGCTCCAGTATTTCTGTTTAGTTTTTGTCTGGATGGCCTGCCCACCGGTGGGGTATCAGTGTGTGAGGGTCAATATGTGACTCAAACTGTAATAGTGTTCCTTTTATTAACTTGGGTGCCTTGTGTTTAGTGCATAGATGTTAAGAATTGCAATGTCCTCTTGGTGGATTTTTCCTTTGATGAGTATGTAGTGTCCTTCCCTGTCTCTTCTGATTAGTTTTGGTTTGAGGTCTATTGTCAGATATTAAAATGACTACTCCAGCTTGCTTCTTAGGTCCATTTGCTTGGAATCTTTTTTCCATCCTTTCACCCTGAGGTGATGTTTGTCTTGATGTGGAGGTGTGTTTCTTGGCTATAGTGGAAGGGTAGATACTGCTTTCAAACCCATTCTGCTAAGTCTGTGTCTTTTTACTGGGGAGTTGAGACCATCAATGTTGAGAGTTATCAAGGAGCAGTGTTTATTGATTCCTGTTATTTTGTTCTTGTGGGGTCCCCCCCATTTTCATTTGCTGACCTGGAATTATTTATTTCTTGTGTTTTCTTTGGTGTTGTTAACCTCTTCAGGTTGAAGTTTTTCTTCTAGCACTTTCTGCAGGATTGTATTTGTTTCTATCTTGGAATGTCTTTCTTTCTCCATCTATTGTGATTGAAAGTTCTGCTGCATATAGTAATGTGGGCTGGAATCTGTGGTTTCTTAGAATTTGTAGAACATTTGTCCAGGTCCTTCTGGCTTTTAGAGTCTTTATTGAGAAATCACATGTTGCTGGGCAGTGCAGCCCAAGCCTTTAATACCAGCACTCAGAAGGCAGAGGCAGGTGGATCTCTGAGTTCGAGGCCAGCTAGGTGTACAGAGTGAGTTCCAGGACACATAGAGAAACCCTGTCTTGAAAATCCAGGGTGGTGGAGTGGCTGGGGCAGGGGTGTTAGGAGAGGTCTGATGTTATTCTAATAGGTCTGCCTTTAGATGTTACTTGGTTTTTCTCTTGCAGCTTTTAATGTCCTGTCTTTGTTCTGTATGTTTACTGTTCTGATGACTGTGTGCTGTGGGGACTTCCTTTTCTGGTCCAGTCTATTTGGTGCTCTGGATGCTCCCTGTACTTTGGTGGGTGCCTCCTCCTTTAGGTTAGTTCTTTTATGATTTCACTGAGAATATTTATTGTGCCTTTGACCTGGGTTTCTTCACCTTCCTGTATTCCTGTTGTTCTTAGATTTGATCTTTTCATAGTGTCGCAGACTTCCTGGATGTTTTGTGCTTAAGTCTTAGATTTGATATTTTCTTTGACTGAGGTTTCCATTTCTTCTGTCTTGTCTTCACTGCCTGAGAGTCTCTCTTCCATTTCTTGTACTTTGTTGGTGCGGCTTGTCTCTGTGGTTCCTGTTCATGCTCCTAAATTTTTCATGTCCAGATTTTCCTCAGTTTGGGTTTTCCTTATTGATTCTATTTCTACTTTTAGATCTTGAACTGTTTTATTTCCTTTCACTGTGTTTTCATAGCTCTCTCTCTCTCTCTCTCTCTCTCTCTCTCTCTTCTCTCTCTCTCTCTCTCCTTCCCCCTCTTTCCCCCCACCCTCTGAGACAGGGTTTCTCTGTGTAACAGCCCTGGCTATCCTGGATCTCGCTTTGTAGACCAGGCCTACCTCTGCCTCCTGAGGGCAGGGATTAAAGGCATGCACCGCCATGCCTGGTTTACCTAATTTCTTTACTGGATTTAAAGGGATTCATTTCCCCTTTAAAGACCTCTGGGGTCTTCATAAAGACTGTTTTAAGGCCTTTGTCTTGTGCGTCAGCTGTGTTGCATTTCTCAGGGTCCACTGAGGTAAGGTTGCTGGGATCTAGTGAGGATGTATGTCCGTGCTGTTACTGTGTTTTTACATTGGCATCTAGGCGTCTGGATTTGGGGTGATTGTAGTTCTAGGTGCTGACATCTGGTCATACCTTTGTTGGGTGGGCGTTGTGTTCCTCAGCTTATGCTGCCCTTTCTGGTTCTTAGGAGGCTGTGTGTTGCCTGGGAGGAAATGTTTCTGGGATCCTGCTACCTGTGGCCACTGGGGCTTCTAGGTACAATGTGTTCCTTGGTGTTGGGAGCTGATACTTAGGAGTGGGCATGGGAAGGAAAGTAGAGTGTCCACCCTGGGGAGGGGTGGGGTGAGGTGAGGAGAGGCCCCGGCAGGTGGTCTGCTACAGAATTGGGGGTGAGAACGGGGACTGGATAAGGAGGAGAAGAGAGATCTGAGGCTTGCCTGCCTCCTTCACTGGCCTCCTTGCTTCTCTGGCAGGCTTGGGGCCTGGGATAAGGTGGGAGGGGCAAAGGTAGGAGAGCTATGGAGGTGCCATTCTGAGTGTGAGACTGGTCTCAGACTCCCTGTGTCTATATATCGTAAACCTTTTTTCCTAAGTTTTATTATGTGTGTGTCTGTGTGGTGTGTGCACACAGACATCCCGGTGCCTGCAGATCCTCTGGGTTGGAGTTACAGGCAGTTGTGAGCTCCCCACAGAGGCGCTAGGAGCTGAACTCAGTCTTCTAGAAGAGCAACAAGTGCACTGAGCCGCTGAGCCACCTCTCCAGCCCTGGGCTTGAACTTTTGACTCCTCTTCCATCTCCTGAGTATGTAGATTTCAGGTGTGAGCCACCACGATCAGCCATCTTAACTTTGCAAAGCTGTCTGAACCATATGAACCCTAGGGAAACATGAGGAGCTGAGGGGCACAGGTGGCCAGGTGGGCCCAGGTCCTTGCTGTTCTCTTGGAATTCTCTTTAGAACATTGCGTGTAGGCACTGTAGGGTGTCTGCTTCATTCTCGTCATAAGTGAGTATCGTTTTCTTTCAAAGAGATCTCTTGCTTTGAAAAAAAAAGTTTGATTTAAAAGAACAAAGAGCAAGGTGAGCTTGGTGATGTTCTCCCAGCACTGAGAAGGCTGACACAGGATGTAGCTGTCTTGCAGAGAACCTGTAATGGTGGCCACACCCCTTTGGGCGTGGCTTCAGGCAGAAAGGGAAGCTTGAGGCAGGGTGGCTTTATTTAGTGCTGTCTTTCTGGTGGGTCAGCCAGTTCAGTAGGAAGGGCAGAGAAAGGCTCCCGAGGTCCTTTGTACTTTTCTGTGTAAGTGTTCCCCAATAAACACCCTTTATCATTTATCTTGGGTCTGGTGAATCTTTACACCCACGCCTGCAGCAGGGGGATTGCTGTGGGTTGGATGCCAGATGGGCTGCAGCACAAGACAGCCTCAGTTTTTCCCATAAAAAATGGCAAAGGGGATAAGGCAGGGCCTATGGGACACTAACAGCCACCTGCCTGATGGCTCTGCCTGGCTCTGGCCGGCAGTGAAGGTTAGGAGACGTTGCAAGGGACACTTCTGTCACTGAAAGGCCCTTCCCAACAACAGTTAGATGGACTGGAGAGCCGGCGGCAGCACATGCCTGGAGGCTCACTGGCTATGCAGCTCGCTGTACTCCTCACACATGACAAGTTTGTTCCTTCCTTGAGGTAAAATCTCATGTAGTCCAGGCTAGCCTCAAATTCACTGTGTAGCCAAGGATAATCATAAACTCCCGAATGCTGGGGTTGCAGATGCCCACCACCACTCCCTACGACAGTTAAGTAAGAGGAAATAAGAAAACAACCATCTTTGGCATTAGTTCCCCACTAGAGAACTGGGGAGTCTCTTCAGTTTATTCTTCTGACAACATATAGGCCTTTTTACAAAATACGTAAGGCTCCCCATACAAATATGATTTTAAGAGTAAAATACCTACAGATATTATGAGCTGTTAACGTGAGGCACAGATGGCTTTTGCTAACCTTTGAATGCCCTCATGGAGATTTTATGCACTTGGAATTTATCTGCATTAATATCAATACAGTAGGTGTTCCAAAAACTTAAAACGACAATCATTGTACTCAGTCATGATGTCTGGTCAGGGGCCTCTCCTGTGGGGTTCACTTTGTTAGCGTGTGGTAACAGAGCCAGCAAACACAACAGATCTCCCCGCTTCTCAGAGCTCACATCTCAGTGGGTGTGGACGAGGAGACATCATCAAGGCTTAGGGAGTACATCATCTTCCCGAAGATGTTTTTGTAGTGATGGGAAGATTCGGAGGAGGGGTGGAAGCCGTCAGGGGAGCCAGGGTCAGTGGGGGAAGCAGGTTGTCAAGAGGGAGGTTGAAGCAGCTGTCCTGAGGAAGGGGCAGTGTGAGCCGAGACTTGAGCAGGGAGGGAAATGCTCGTTAATCTTCCAGGAATCGTCTGGGTCTGAGTTGTTTGACTTTCGGTGAATTTAACTCTTGGGTACTTGGTTTGACAGCACATTAACTTAAAATCAGGACAATACAGAAAAGGTTACATGGCTCCTCTCCAGGGAAGAATATCTTCTTCTGGCCTCTTCAGGTGCCCATGTGTGCATACACAGTTTCTTTAATCTTTTTGTTTTCAAGGCAGGGTTTCTCTGTGTAGCCCTGTGTACCCTGGAACACTCTCTGTCGACCAGGCTGGCCTCAAATTCAGAGAAACATTTGCCTCCCAAGTCCTGGTATTAAAGCATGCCGTTACTGCCCCCGATTTTTTTTTAACTTAAAACAAACAAAAAACCCTTTCTCCTACTGGGGTATAGAAAAATGATCAAATGATAGTCACCAGTTTTTCTGTAACTACTGGGGTATAGAAAAATGATCAACTGATCGTCACCAGTTTTTCTGTAACTACAGTTCTTTTCTCTGTGCCCAGTACATCATTTATTTCAAAGTGAAAACATTGAGAGAGGAGTTTGCAGTCAGAATTGTTGCCACAAGCTGCTGCTCAGGGTGACTGTTGAAGACCAGAAGGTTGTTTGTTGTTTTCAATCGTGTCTTTCTCACGAACTCCAGGAATCTGCGTGTGTGAAAGTGGTGGCAGCCATGAGCATGTGGGACCTGTGCTTGGAGAGGGGGCACCGTGACCTGGAGCAGTTTGAGAAGGTGCACCGCTACATCAGTGATCAGCTCTTCACACACTTCGTAAGTGGTTGTCCGGCCCCCTTTCCAAGGCTTGGCTTCCTTCCCGGGCCACTCACACAAAAGTCCCTTCCAGAGACCAGAGTCACAAGTTCTAGTGTGCTGCATCCAAGTTTAAGACAGAATGTGACCAATTAGAGGGACAGTAGAACCTGTAAGTATTCTGGGCTTTTCCCATAACTTATGTTCTTAGTTCAGAGGGCAAACTGTGGAGAAAAGCTAGGAAATTTAGCCTGACATAGTCACTGAGTATTCTGACCCCAAAAAAGTTATTCCTGAATATCCCTTTTCCAGTTAAAATGTCACACAGCAATGACTTTATACAGAAAGTGCTACAGGGCAGATTGCTTAGGAACTTCCAAGGAGAAGTGGGTGTTATTCAATTGCCTGTAGATTGTGTGGGTTTGGGGTTTGTTCGAGCTCTCTGCAGCTAAAGCAGGTATGCACATTGGGAAACCAGGGGCTCCAGCAGGAAATTCTTTTAATATGCGGCCCGGGCTGGGACAGTTCAACAGCATGAGGACCTCAGCTCTTTGTTCAGTTTTTTGAGACAGGATTGCTCTGTGTAACAACCCAGGCTGTCCTAGAACTCCCTCAGTAGACTAGGCTGGCCTCAAACTCACAGACCTGCCTGCTTCTGCCTCCCAAGTGCTAGGATTAAAGTCATGTGCCACCATGCCTGGCCTGAGGACCTACATTCTATCTCCAGCAGGTGTGGCGGCACACGCTTATAATCTCAGCACTGGGGAGCAGGGAGCGGTGGCTCACTAGCCAGCCATCCAAAGTTATTTGGTGTATTTTAGGACAGCAAGAGACCCTTTCTCAAATATGAGGTAAATGGTGTCCTTTGGCGCCTGCACACGTGCAGACGATACACTATTGAGAACCTGTGTATACTTTCATGTGGTTAGCGGCACACCCGAGTAAGAGAAAAAGCCTCTGAAAAGTAGAAGTGGCCATTACCACACAGTAATGACTGGAACATTGAGAGGACACAATCCCAGGCGTAAGGACTGTCTGCAGTTAAAATCAAGCTGTGTGGACAAGGGTAGCCGCACAGACTAACCACACGTTATACCAAGTGTGCGTTAGTATCCATCAGCGAGGAAGCTGAAGAGGGGGAGCCTGCCCGGCAAAGGCCCTGTTGGGAGAATTGCCCGGTGAAGCACGGTAGGGCGTGGCTGTGTGTCTGCTCAGGGTCACATTGGGCGCTAGAGCAAAGAGAGGTATAAGAGGTGACCAAGTCAACCTTAGAGTGCTTTGGAGACAAATGAGGTACTGACCAGCGACATGCTTTTCTCGTCCCCACAGAAGGAGAGGACAGAGCGGCTCGTCATCAGTCCCTTAAGCCAGCTGTTGAGCATGTTCACGGGGCCCCACAAGCTAGTGCAGAAGCGCTTCGACAAGCTCCTGGACTTCTACAACTGCACGGAGCGAGCGGAGAAGCTCAAGGACAAGAAGACGCTGGAGGAGCTGCAGTCAGCCCGCAACAACTACGAGGCCCTGAACGCCCAGCTGCTGGACGAGCTGCCCAAGTTCCAGCAGTACGCCCAGGGCCTCTTCGCCAACTGCATCCACGGCTACGCCGAAGCCCACTGCGACTTCGTGCAGCAGGCCCTGGGGCAGCTGCAGCCCCTGCTGTCGGTGAGCCCTTCACTCTGCTAGGCCCGAGTTCTCTCAAGTGCGGCTGGTGCCATCCAGAATGCTTGGTAGAGTCATTCAGTGTAAAGGGAAGCTTTTCCTTGCTAGCCGCTTTGGTTTATCACCCGCCAGTCGCCTGGGCTCTGCCGCGTTGTAGTCCCCAAATAACACACAAGACGCTGTATTAATTATGAAGCTGTTGGCCTTGCTTGTTTCTTACTGGCTAGCTCTGACTTAAGTAATTATCCCATAATTGTTAATCTAAGTATTTCTCTTACCGGAGAATAATTCTGGGCTTCCTACCCCATGGCGTTACATCTTGACTCTCAGTGTTTCTCCTTCCCAGAGTTCTCCTGGACTCCTAGTCCCACCTATCTTGATTCCCTATTGGCCAGCAGTGCTTTATTGACAAATGCACAGGACTTCCCCCCAACAATTCAGTCCTGCCCATCCAGGACTCTCGGTCCATTCTTGGTGTCTTGAAGCGTGAGGTTGTTCAAACATCTGCTTCCGTCTTGAGCCATTTCTGGATGTGCTGGCTCTCGGGCAGTGACAGAGCCCCATGTCACTAACTGCCGCTTTGGCACCTAATTCAGCCAGCTACAGCTGACCTTAGTGTGCAGCTGTCTCTGAAGACTCTGTCAGGCCCAGGGGTGTTTCATCATGTTCTTCTCTTTCCTGTCTTGACTCCCTGTGGTCTGCAGTTACTGAGAGCCACTGACCGGGAAGGCAACTTGATCGCCATCTTCCACGAGGAGCACAGCCGGGTCCTGCAGCAGCTGCAGGTCTTCACCTTCTTCCCCGAGTCCCTCCCCACTCCCAGGAAGCCCTTCGAGAGGAGAACCACAGACCGCCAGTCATCCCGGAAGCCCCTTCTTGGCATGGTGAGGAGGCACCTAGTGTGGCCCTACAGACCAGGCATCCAAGCATGTCACTCATCAACTAACTACCAGCCCCACATAGCAGGGCTAGCGCCAGACTTAAATGAATTAATGAGTGGAGCTGCCCAGCCCATAAGTACTGTGCACGTAGTCGTTAGTAATATCGCTTAGTGGACTTTTGACTTTTCATAATAAATGGAGAATAAGAGGTTATCAGGCAGCCGGACGTTGGTGGCGCACGCCTTTAATCCCAGCACTCGGGAGGCAGAGGCAGGTGGATCTCTGTGAGTTCGAGGCCAGCCTGGTCTACAGAGCGAGTTCCAGGACAGCCTCCAAAGCCACAGAGAAACCCTGTCTCAAAAAACCAAAAAAAAAAAAAAAAAAAAAAAGAGGTTATCAGGCCTGTTCCATCACAGCTGTTTTGGGAGCATCACCGATGTGACTCTGGTACCCCCCTGGGGCCACCTGGAATCTTGATGTGAATTTCAAGCTGCCTTCTGAAGTCATTCTTGGATCTTAGTAAAGCATTAATACATGGATGGGTAATGAGTTAGAGATTCATTCAGGCCTGTTTTTGATCATGTATTAGGGAAGTTAGCACAACACCAAACTATTAGTGACTTTTTCACCTGGAGTAGCAGTGTGGGGTTTTTGTTTTTGTTTGTTTTTTGTGGTTTTCTTTGAGGGGATGGGGCTTTCAAGACACATTTTTTTCTGGGTAACACTCCTAGCTGTTCTAGAACTCGCTTTGGCCTCAAGCTCACTGAGATCACCTACCTCTGCCACCCACGTGCTGGGATCAAAGGCGTACACCACCACTGCCCAGCTTTTTTGTTTGGTTTTTATTTTCTAACACAGCTCATTAGGGGTAAGACATACCAGATCATGTGGGCTCCTAGCCAGAAGGACCAACCAACAGTCTTCCTTCCATGGACTCCCAGACTCCATAGACTCCCATGGGCAGCCAGTTGCTTTACAGGGGAGAAATGGATTTATTATTGCCTTAGGTTTTCATTTTTAAGATTTTTACTATGTCTGTAGGTGCCTGCAGGGTCCAGAAGAGGGTGTGGGACTCTAGGGGACTATAGTCACAGATGGTTGGGAGCCATCTGCCATGCAAGAGCAGTGAGCACCCTTGCCCCCATGAACCGCCTACCTTTAATTCTTATTATTTAGGTCTGTCTGGCAATGTATAAGACCCAGTGATATACTTGGTATTTGGACTTTGTTTTTACGTTTACATTTCATTTTATTTTGGTACTAGCAATTGAAAGCCTTGTGCATGCTAAGGATATGCTCTGCTACAGCCCGTCACCAGTATTAGATTGTTTAGCATTTTAATCATATTTTTGTCTTACTTTCTATTTTTGCATAAAGTAAGGGTATTAGCTTGCCTCATGGCTTCAGAGATATCAAACATTGCCTAAAGGATCACAGTTTTTACCTAACACGGCCTGACTTGGTTATGAAAGTGTCTTTTGTAGGTAGTTGGGTAGCTGAGGGTTGTGCCTCCCTCTTGAGATGGCAGGCTGAGATTAAATACGACTGCTAACGTGATGGCGGGGGTTCTTACCGGTCCTGGGCTAGGCTGATGCTGGAGTTCTCACTGGTGCTGTGCCAGGCTGACAGTGGGGTTCTTATTGGTCTTGTTTCTCAGCTGAGCTACATGCTGCAGTCAGAGGAGCTGCGGGCCTCCCTGCTGGCAAGGTACCCACCTGAAAAGCTCTTCCAGGTGGAACGGAACTTCAACGCTGCTCAGGACTTGGATGTCCCCCTTTTGGAAGGCGACCTGGTGGGTGTAATAAAAAAGAAAGACCCCATGGGCAGTCAGAATCGCTGGCTCATCGACAACGGAGGTGAGGGTTCCAGACTCTGGGTAAATGTGACTGATTGAGAAAAAGACGGGGGGGGGGCATCACAGAATTGTCCCGATTTCTAGAGTGTGTGGCACCCAGGTTGGTAGTGAAGCCACCTGCTTCAGATTCCTTTTTTTTTTTTTTTTTTTTGACAACTTTCAGGGACAATTTTGTTATGTATTTATCCTGAAACTGTTGCCATGTTTTTCTTCTAAGTTACCAAGGCAGCTGCCCTCTGAGTCTGTAAACTGTGTATGAATTAAAAGCCTGTGGTTTTGTTAGCTTTCCCTATAATAATGTTATTTCATGACTGTTTAGAGAGGGACTTGAAATCCAACACTTCACAGCTTTCTTTTTTTGGAGGAAGATTATAGACTTTAGTCTAATCCTTTTTTCCCACAATCCCTAAATCCACAGTCCCCAAGTTGAGAAAAGCAGGGCTCTTCCAGAACCCTCTTGTCAAACCTGAACGGAGAAGCAGAAAAGGATTTGTAGTCATAACTTACCTTTCCCAGCAGGAATTGTCTATTTTGCTTGCTGTGGAGGGCTGTGAAATAGATAAATATTTGACATTCCTTAAACCAAAAAATTATGAGTTCCAACGCCTCTGGCCTTAAGTGTTCTAGATAGAGTTAGGGGTTTGGGCTGGCTTTAGTATTTTTGGGGGGGTTTCTTTAAAAGCATCTTGTGGGCTGGGGAGGCTGGAGTGCTCTACAGGACTGGGGTTTAGAGCGCAGATACCTAATCCAGGTAAAAAGCCAGATGACATGCCTCACACAGTGTCCAAAGACAGCCTGCCGTGTGGGGCCCAGGATCGCCCCTCAGCCCTAGGAAGCTGGAATTCCTTCATGAGCAGAGCTCTGGGACAGAAACAAAGAACAAAATGGGATAAGATTAAAATGCCAGCACTTAATTAAAAGGAAACCAAGCTCCTCGGGCATTGAGTTGCCTGCCCAGGGTCTGTGCTCCTCAGATTTCTCTCTCTTACGACAACATTTTTGTTTGAAACGAGCGACTGAGAGCCCTCTGTCTTCATCATAGGTGATTTGTTGAAGTGCACATGCTCGACACGGGTGTGTGCTTGACCCGAGTCAGTGTCCTGCTGTAGAGTACTCACAGTAGTCCGCAGCGCTCCGTGACCCTAAGATGGTTCTGGTACATGGAGAGTTGGGGGCAGATGGCCTTTCTGAGAGCTCAGCACAAGGACAGCCTTGAAAAATCTGCCTTTGACCTATTGTATTTGAACTTCAGCTCACCCAAGTCTTCTCTTGTGTGGTCTGGGCATCCTGTCACATTGTCCTCAGTGCCCATCCCAACCCTGATCATTTTCTTTCTTTCTTTTTTTTTTTTTTTTTTTTTTTTTGGTCCTGTTATTTTGATACGGGTCTCACTTTGGCAAGGCAGGTCTTGAACTTGCAGTAATCCTGTTATTTTGGTACGGGTCTCGCTTTGGCAAGGCAGGTCTTGAACTTGCAGTAACCCTTCTACTTCAGTCTCCTGAATGCTGAGGTCACAAGTATGGCCCACTAAATTTTGGTTTATGTTTAAACAAATGAGATTTGCTTTTTCACTGTTCTGTCAATTGCCCACAGACATCCTTGTCATTTTAGTGTGCAGATATAAGAGTAACCTGGAAGGTAGCCATTGGGGTGGGGCACTGTGGGGGGTTGGTTGCTGCAGGCATCACTAAGCATTTGGTTTTTGTCTTCCTTGATCTAGCTTTTCTTTTTTAAAAAAATCTATTTATTGTGAGTATGGTATTTTGGCTGCATGTGCCTGGTGCCTGTGGAAGCCAGAAGGTAGTATTGGACCTCCTGGAACTGGAGTTATGGATGGCTGCCACTGCCGTGTGGGTGCTGGGCATCGAACCCAGGTCCCCGGGAGGAGCAGCCAGTGCTCTTAACTGCCCAGCCATCACTCCAGCCCCATTGACTTAGCTTTTAAACTGTACTCTGTAAATTCCTTGTACCACCCCCACCTGTGTACACACACACCTATGCACACACACACCTATGCACACACACACACACACACACACCTATGCACACACGCTCCAGCTCAAGCTCTTGTCTTTTGCTCTGCAGTCACCAAGGGTTTCGTGTACAGCTCCTTCCTGAAGCCCTACAATCCTCGTCGCAGCCACTCGGACGCCTCGGTGGGCAGCCACTCTTCCACGGAGTCAGAACACAGCAGCTCCTCCCCCAGGGTCCAGCGGCAGAACAGCAACAGTGCCTTGACCTTCAACTCCAACAACATGACTGTGTCCTTCACCTCAGGGCTTTCCCCGAAGCAGCCCCAAGACACGTCTCCACTGAAGGAATGTGACCAGGGAACTCTCAGTATGTCCTTGAACACGGCGAGTCCAGAAACTGGACCTTCCAGGTGCTTTCCAGACCCAGACTCTCCCTCCCAGCTTAGGCCAGGGGACTCTGCAGATGGCGCCACAGACATAAGCCAACCTGCTTCAGCCCCGAGGGCATGCCAGAGAAGCTGCAGGCATCCAGAGGCGGCCGGTTACTCTGTACCAGGGCGAAATGGACAAGGCAATGGCTCCGTAAGAGGAAGTGCAAGAGCCTATCAGACTCTGGAAGACAGAAACAGAGAGACAGAAGGCAACCAGGTAAGCACACCCTGCCTGTGTGGCTCCTCCGTGTGGGCAGATGTGGGGTATGGAGAGGACCCAGCATGGGCTGGTACCCTGGCCTGTCCTCCCTGCCCCAGAACCCCGCTGTCCTAGGGAGCAGCCCCCCTCTCCTGCCTCCACAGACACTTCCAGGCCGTCCCCAGGACCTTCTGCCTTCTGCTTTGTCACTGGATGTTAAAAAGATGCCAAGGTCAAACCTGTTTTTACTCTTCAACCTATAAATCCTTTCAGTGATTGGGGGCTGCTTAACCCACCCACTCAGGCTTTTGTCCCCAGCTGTACTTTTATTCCTAGAATTTAGAAGTGAAAGCGTGTGCTCTTTCAGCCTTTCCTGTTTCTGTATGGCCTGCTCCTGCCTTGTGCGTCAGCTCTGTGTCACAGATTCTGGTCTCCACACTGATCCGAGGCTGCACCTCTGTTGCTAGACCACACAGAAGTGCGTTTTCTCGACAGTCTTGTGTGGTCTGCGCTGTGTTGCTGAGTCTGGATTTGGATTCCAAAAGCCAGCTGTGTCTCACAGTTCTGCTTGTGTGTCAGCTGAGTGGCACCTGCTGGCTTCCGCCTGGGGGCGGGGCGATTCTTTGTACTGACAGCCTAGGGCAAGTATCCCGTTCTGAACCCGAGTGGAGAGCATCTCCTGACTTACAGGGAACTCAGGTCTAGCTTCGTCAACTCCTAAGCCTGGTCTGTCCTGAAACGATGGTCCTTGGTGTGTATGTGTCCCTGGGCCTCATGGCTTCCCCTACGCTGAGCACCCTCCACCCGTACCCTGGGCCCCCTACCCTGCCCTCTTTACCCCACCTACAGACTGACCGTTCTTGCTGTGGAATTAATCATGTATTGTGACTTTGGTTTGCGGTTTTGTTTTTCTTTCTTGTTCTGAGAATGGAGGCCCGGAGCCCAGGGTTTGGAGCAGGCGAAGCCTGTGCACTGAGCTGTCCTAATTGAGAAGTTCTAGGTGGAATATAGGATTGGGGCAGAGGCAGGTTCCCTCACAGCTCCAAGGCTCCTGCTCTTCTGAAACAGTGGGAACTGTGCAGTTTTTGAGAGGTTATTGTTTTTAAGACAGGGTCTCACCATGTGTCCTTGCCTGCCTCTGTCCTGTTCGTTAAGGACTACCCCAATCATATGCATATTTACACCCTAAATCTGATTAGAAAATCAGCTTTCAGCCCGGCTGTGGTAGTGCTTGAGAAGCAGAGGCAGGCGGATTTCTGAGTTCAAAGCCAGCCTGCCCTATAGGGGTCGTTCCAGGACAGCTAGGGCTACATAGAGAAACCCTGTCTTGAGAAAAAATAAATCCCTTTCAGGCCCACGGATGCTTGGTAACATGGGGCAGATGGCTGCCCTCACAGCATTGCTGCAAGCAGGTTCCTAACCCTCTCTCTCCTTCACCTAGGTCTATTTTGCCGTCTACACCTTCAAGGCACGAAACCCAAATGAACTGAGTGTGTCAGCCAATCAGAGACTCAGGATCCTTGACTTTAAAGACATCACAGGCAATACAGAGTGGTGGCTGGCCGAAGTTAACGGGAAGCAGGGCTATGTCCCTTCCAGTTACATCCGGAAGACTGAGTACACCTGAGCCAGGTGCCCCGCCCTCCCTCGCGTCTCTGTCTGCTGAAGGGCTCTGCCGGGCTGCAGGCGCCGGCTGCTGAGCGCAGGCCCCACAATGCTGATCATAGCGTGGAGTGCAAGATAAGCTTTACTCTCAGTTGAGTTTACACTGTGATGCTCGTTAGAATTTGAAGTGGACCCCAAGGCTTGCCGACCATTCACTGACTACAAGGAGCTGACCAGGTGCCGCCATCAGCTGTGGGAAACGAGACATTTCCAATCAGAGAAGCAGTATTGTACGCAGGAAGCTTGTGCGCTGGCTGTTGCAGCCTCCGTGGATGACTGAGCAGTCAGCGGAGAGGAGCAGGCTCGGAGAGCTCCTCCGTCATGCCCTCAGTCAGCGGAGAGGAGCAGGCTCGGAGAGCTCCTCCGTCATGCCCTTCCCACAGGCCAGGTCACACTAAACCTGGCGCACCAAAACTTCAGACACCCCCAGTGCCCAGCACCCGCCATCTCTGACATGCTCCTGATTTGTAGTTCATAAAATGCTAACCTTATTTTCTCCACTGCTTTCCTGTTAGGTGTTTGCAGTCTTCCTTTCCTTTTGACCTTGTGTCTAGAAGGTTCTCTTACCCTATCAGACATGGTCATCTGCCTCTTCCTGATACTCATCAACCTTATATGGTCTTTGTGTGATGTCTCCTAACCTTTCTCACTGAATGTAATAACTGACAGACTTCTCTAGACTACCCGGGCCAGCACTCCAGCTGGCTGCTTCAAGTATTAATTCTGCTGTGGTCTCCAACCAGCCGAGCCTGGAGGAAGCCTGGATGCCTTTCTCTGCCACCCGGGCACTCTGCTGCCACCTTGTGGCATCCACTTGTGCTCACAACAGCAGCCCTGGCTTATTGGAAGTAGGTAGGATCACTGGCCACAGAAGCAGCTTATCTCAGACTTGGAAATGGAATTTTTTTCTTTCTCACCACCAACTGCCATACTTCAGACAATATTCAAAGCCAAACAGGTGCTAAAAGTGCCTAATGAGACCTCACACTTAAGGCTGGAAGGTGCTCACTAACTCTCATGTGAAGAGATGGCGCCCCAGGCTTGCCTCAGCGGGGCCCTCAGACTCCAGGTGAGCCCACCATGGACCCGCCTTCCAGCCGCTGCTCCTCCAGTTGCACAGGCGGCCTTAAAACCCTGGTGGATCAGGACGAGCCAGTGGACACCCCAGGCGTCTTCTGCTCCACTGGGCGAGGCCTCTCATGAAGTGTTTATATTTAGAGATGTTTATATTTAAGTAGCTATTTTATAAATAAAAGTGTTTCTATTGGCCATAAGTGTTTCCTTCATCTTGAGTCTGAACTTTTTCATCCTTGCCCAGCTGAGTGGCAAGGGACCGTGTTTTCTTTGAGTACTTCTACAGCAGTGTTTCTCAACTCATGGGTCCTGACCCCTTTGAGATCAGATATCCTGTATTTCAGGTATTCACAATACGATTCATAACAGTAGCACATTACAGTTATGAAGTAGCAATGAGATAGTTTTATAGTCGGGGGTCAGCACAACATGAAAGGGTCGCAGCATTAGGAAGGTTACGGACCCCTGCTCTACAGTTTCTGGTCACAGATTTAAGTCTTTACTCCACTTTGAGGTGCTTTTCTGTCCCTTTTGGGGGTACAATGGGATGATCTTGTTATGTAGCCCAGGCAGGTCTCCAGTGAGCTCCTTTTGCTTCGTCTGGGTGTTGGGGTTCCAAGTTTGCCCTGACAGCCAGCTTTGAGTTTGTTTGGTTTTTTTTTAACTATAGTACCAGATGTCTGGCGTGTGATGCACACCTCTAATCCCAGCACTTGAGAGGCAGAGGCAGGAGGTTCTCATCACTTTCCATTGAGTTTTTAAGTGATTCCAGTTTTTTATTTCTAGGATTTCTGTTTTCGCTGAATTTCTGTGCCTTTGCTGAATTATTGAATTTCTCATCCTGGGGCTTTGATCCCTTGTTCAGGTTCTGAATTTGTTCTTCCCTTCCTTTGCTCTTGAGTGCTTCAAGTGTTCTCTCCATAAAAATGATGTTCACGGCTGGTAAGACTGTTCCCCAGAAGCCTGCACAGCACCTTCCAGTACTATAAAAAGAGCCAGAAATCTGGCTGTGAAGCCATAGTTGGGGAGCTCACGGGCCCCATGGATGAACCTACTGTTATTTTGCTAAATGCACATAGTATCAAGCTGCCCTCTAAATTTCTATCTCTCCCCGTAGATGAGTGCAGCCCTCGGTCCTCACCAGACAAGTTTGTTGGTGCAGTGGACGATGGTTACCACAGAAACAACTGGTCAAAACGCAGAGAATGTATACAGTGGGGTGCTCAGTCACACATGGGGCACCTGTAACATCACATCTCCTTCCCAAAGGTCCAGGCCATCGAAGAGGTGGGGCAGAAAGATTTTAAGAGACAGAGGTCAGGGAAGGCCAGAGTGAAACTCCTAGAGATGACAGCAAAAATGCCTCATGATTGTCGTACCCTGAATCTGGGAGACAACAACAGCCGGGTCCTGCCCAGTTTATCCATCCATGCATGGAAAGAAGCATGTGGAGTAAGAAGTGACAGGAAATCCCCCAGACCCCTCCCCCCAAAAATGACGGATAGGAAAACTAAAGATACTGAAGAAAATATAGAGACACGATAGGGTCAGGAGGGCATCTGGTGAATACCAGGAACCACTGCTAGTTTACTAGTCAAAGTTCTTACATACCTCAATCAAAAGAGGGGGAGGCAAAAGACTTCCTTACCAAGAAGAACAAGCAAGCGTTGTTACCTTCTCAATAACCAAAGTATCAAGTAACCACACCTTAAATCAGATAATCCTGTTTTCAAGGTAAGGCATCCATTGGTACTCCTCAGGCCAAATATCCTGTTGTTTAACCTTGAAAGAGCAATAGTGGGTTTGAACTCTCTGACCTGAAGTCAAGATGTTGTAGAGCCATTTTTATGGGCCCCAACACATGATAAGACCAAGCCATCAGCATTCTTGCGTGGAGTGGAAAGTGGTTCACAAGCCCCAGCCCTGATCAAGGAGATCTGGACAGTTAGTGACTACTAGGGGAGGGAGGGAGTCTAGTATTCTTAAAGGCTGTGGCTCTGGTAGGTTGGCCACACTCCAGTGGATGGTCCCAATCTCATAAGTATATGGACAGCACAAACTAGAGTTGAAACGATTAAAACAAACCAAGAGACGGGGACCTGGAGGTGATCCAAGGAGCTAAGGAGACTCTGAGTACTGAATGTAATCAAATATGTATGAACTTAATCAAATACTTTAAAATATTCTGCAGTATGTGCATGATTTAAAATGTTGCTCATGATAAACTTACACAATTTTTGTCAATGGAAAAATGAAGGTTAAAACATCAACACAGTGTAAACAGCAAGTTGGAGGATACTTAAGGGCCACACCAAGGACTTCAGAGCTGAGGACTCCACTATCAAACCCGTGTAGGCTTTGCTATCCAGTTGTAGACAGGAAGGAGTGATGAGCAAAGGGATCAAGACCATGCTGAGGAAACGCACACAAACAGCTGACCTGAGCAAGTGGGAGCTCTCAGACCCCAGTCTGACAGCTGGGATCCTGCATAAAGACAGAGCTAGGTCCCCTGAACATGGGTGTCAGTTGGGAGGCCTGGCCAGTCTGGGCCTCTGGCAGTGGAACCAATACTGATCCCTCGTGCAGGAACTGCTCTTTTGAGCCCATTCCCTATGGAGGAGGGTTACGCTCTCAGCCTAGATATGGGGGGGAGGCTGTCCTTCCCCAAAAGATGTGACAGACTTTGATGCTCTCCCATGGGAGGCCTCACTGTCTCTGAGGAGTGGATGGGTGTGGGGTGGAGAGATGGTGAGGGGAGTGGGGGAACAGAAAGGAGGGGGAACTGGGATTGGTATGTAAAATAAGGTTATTTTTAATAATTTTTTTTAAAAGGCATCACCTGTGTTGGGGGAGAGAATGGCCTGGAAGATGAGGATCAAAGGCAGGAGAAGCAATTTCTGGGGATATGAAGTCTTAACTAATTTAGGCAAAAGATTTATTGAGAGTGGGAAAGAGTGCTATAAAGTGCTATAAAGAATATGAAATTGAAGTCAGGCAGTAGTGGCGCACGCCTTTAATCCCAGTGCCACTCAGGGAGCAGAGGCCAGGTGGATCTCTGAGTCTGAAGCAAGCCTGGTCTACAGAGCAAGTTCTAAGACAGCCAGGGCTACACAGAGAAACCAAAAAAAAAATTGAAGAGATAAGGGGTCATTGACAAAAGGGTAATAATTGAACTAGTAACAAGTTTATGAAAGGGTATACGCTTTTGTCTCAATACCAGATGCCTTCTAGGCCTCTGTCACCCGGAGGCTGTGGGCAAGGCTGGCCCCAGATCATAGCTGAACACAAATCTAACAAGGCCCCAGGAGATTAGCGTGTGCAGCAAGGGCTGAGACCCATCTATCTTAGGGTTACTTTTGCTGGGATGAAACACTATGGCCAGAGGAAAGGTTTGTTCTGCTTATATATCCTGAGCCACAATCCACTGAGGGAAGCCAGGGCAGGAACTCAAACAGGGCTGGAACCTGGAGGCAGGAGCTGATGCAGAGGCCGTGGGGCTTGCTCCTCATGGTTTGCTTAACTCGTCTGTTACAGAACCCAGGGACGACCAGCCCAGGGTGGTACCACCAGGCTGGGCCACATCAATCACTAATTAAGAAAATGTTTCATCCTAAAATTTGCAGGCAAATGGACAGAACTAGAAAAAAACATCCTAAGTGAAGTAACCCAGAACCAGAAAGACAAAGTATGTACTCACTCATAAGTGGACACCAGACATAAAGCAAAAGATGCCCAGCATACAATCCACAACCCCAGAGAAGCTAGAACCCTCTTCCAGAAACAGATGGAAGCAGATGCAGAAATCCACAACTAACCAATGGGACAAGCTCCTGGAGTACAATCCAAGTGAGGGAGGAGCGATAATGTGAATAAAGGAGTCAAGACCTTGATGGGGAAACCCACAGATGAGCTGACCCGAGCTAGTGAGAGACCACTGACTCAGGTCTGACAAATGGGGATCCTGTATAAGACTGAACTAGACTTCCTTAATACAGGTGACAGTGGTGTGACTGGGACAATATATGAGGTCACTAGCAGTGGGTCCAAGATCTAACTCTAATGCACAAACTGACTTAGTGGAGCCCATTCTATACGGAGAGATACCTTGCCCAGCCCTTGGTCCTGCTTCAACTAGATGATGGGACAGACTTAGTAGACTTCCTAGGGGAGGCCTTACCCTCTCCAAGGAGCAGATAGGAGAAGGGTGGGAGTTGGGGAAGCAGGAGGAGAGGAAAGTGAGGGAACTGGGATTGGAATGTAAAAAATAAATTAATAAAAAAGAAAATGTTCAGTCTTTCAGAGACATTTTCTCAACTGAAGTTCCCTCTCTTGGACTGACTACAGCTTGTGTCAAGCTGAATTAAAACTAGGCAGCATGATGTCCATCTAGGTAATTTTTTTTTTTTTTTGGTTTTTCGAGACAGGGTTTCTCTGTATTGTTTTGGAGCCTGTCCTGGAACTTGCTCAGTAGACCAGGCTGGCTTCGAACTCACAGAGATCCACCAGCCTCTAGCTCCCGAGTGCTGGGATTAAAGGCGTGCGCCACCACCCGGCTATGAAGGAACTTTTTATGTATTCTTTCATCTGCCATCGCTAGAGCAGGGATGGATGTGAGGAGTCTACATCTAGACAATGGCGATTTCAGGTCTCTCAGGACAATAAGGAGAATCACATGAGATGATGTCTGCTTATGCAGGCAATGTGAGATGAAGGACATGGTTCCGGAGGAGGACTGCCCTTTCCATCCTGTCTTAACTGATTTTGGAGCTGGGACTCTGATATGTGGGTTACCAGGGCCAGGAATGTGCTAAGAACACCTACAAGACATGCACTTGTTTCGAAGCCCCTTTTCCTAGCACTCCACAGCTCAGCTCCCATGCAGGATTTTAAGCTTTGCTATATAGTCATGGCATTTTAATAGCAGTAGATTCTCACTGTTTCCCTTTTGTAGGCTGCGGCAGAATACAGTGCCAGGCAGGATTGATAATAGTCAACTCTATTGGCCTCAACTCCAGTGTGCTGGGATTGTAGGCACACGCCACACACCTGACTTAAACTAAAGCTTTTGCAAAGTACTTACACGCCTGTGCCTCAGCACCAGTAAGAGATGCCCTTTATTTTATTTGGTGTTTTGGAGACAGGATCTTGTGATGTATCTCTGGATGTTCTGGAACTCACTATGTAGACCAGGCTGGCCTCAAGCTCACAGACATCTGCCTGCTGTGTTCAAGGCATTTGCCACTAGTGCCCAGCCTATGAGATGTCCTTTAAGGAGACACAGGTGTAACGCTTTCCCAGTGTTAACCATGACCTGATGACAGGAAGGGGAAGTGAAAAGAGCGCCCAGTTTAGTAGAAACATGTTCATTCTGGAAACACTGGGAGCAGGCCCAGAGGACCTTGCATATGACTAGGGGTGTCTGAACACTCATGCAGACATGTCACCAAGCTATGCATGCACCTTATCCAAGGGTCTCCCGTACACCCAAGAGGACTCAGGTCCCAGGCATTTCCTGTCACAGTCACCCCTTATGTAAGGATCAGGAAAGCTAAGTATGACAGACTTTAGCCACCATTGCCAAAATAAGGACTGACTTTGGCTGATGTCTTTACAACAGCCTTTCAGCTGAGAACAGGGCATGGTTAACTCCAAATAGGACCAAATGGATTAAGATAGGGGCAGTTTAGTTGGGAAAGAGTGCATTGATGCAATTCGACCTAACTGCAGCCAACTTGTGTCACACTGGACACAGTGGTTGGTTTATCTCTGTGGTTTCTTGACATACTCCAAATAGGCAAACCCTTCTAAATCTTTTGCCTAGCTTAAACAATGGGTTCTTTTCTTGTCGGTGAATTGTGAGAATGCTCTAGATTTTCTGAATACATTATTGGTCGGTTGTTGTTTGTGGGTGCCCGAAGGGGCAGTGTGTGTCGCTTTAGACTGGGCACTGATGCCAGGTCCAGCAGGGCCTCCTGTAAGCAGCCCGCCACTGAGCACTTGAAGCTGTTTTGCCTTTCCCCTGCTTCTTGTAGGAATTTTAGCACGACTTGGTCTTGCTGCTGCCCCAGGCTTCTGAGTAAGTCCTCTCAGTAAACTGTAGCCTATGAATTCTGAATCTGTCTGACCCTTTCCTTTGGTTTCACCACACCTGGGAGGCAGTTCTTACACACCAAGGCCAAATGGACAGGTGTCGGTCATGAGTCCTGCAATCAGCGTTTGGTGCGAAGTAAAAGGCACTATGATAAAACCCGACCACAGCAGGACCGATGAGATTAAAGATGAAAACCCTCGCTCTTGAGTGCTCTTTGGAAAACCTTGTCAGTTTTATCAGAGGCACTAGAGCTCTCCAGTCCTAGTTTCCTGTTGGGGAACCCCAAAGATTCCAGGAGAAAGACCACCAACCTAAACCATGGCCAAATTAATTAAAGCCAGCCTTTGAACACAGGCTGACCCCTCCAAGGCAGCATCAAGAGGTCAGCATTGGACACGGGGATGATAAGATTTTTATAGTTCAGGGCTAGGGGGTTCCCAGGGGCTGGCAGGCAAATAGGCAGGAAGCTGAACATGACAAGGTGGTCATAACTTCTAGGAACAAAAGACATGGTTGCTGTTTCCTGAAACAGGCGGTACAGGTTAGGGTTACAGGTGGGCATAGCTCAATCCTTTCATAGACAGGAATGGCCCTAGTTTGTCCTTACTGTAAGATGGCGTTCAAGGTTAAGATGCAGGCAGGCTGTTTCATCACTTGCCGCCATAACAAATCACCATGAATTCTGTGACTTAAAAACCATTAGAATTTCAAAATCAAGGACTTGTCCTTTATGGAGGCTCCAGGGGGCGTGTCCCCTTACCTTTTCTGAGCTTGCCCCTCAGCTTGCCCGCCTTCCTCTAACTGCAAATACTGTAGTGTTTGGAAGTCTCTCGGCATCTGTCTTCACAACACCTTCTCTTTGACTCTGAATTCCCAGCTGCCTTTTGTGTAACCCAGGCCTTACACGTGCCCAGCAAACACTTTTATAAAGAGACTCTGATTACATTGGGCACACCTGAGTAACCCAGGAATCACTCTTCCTTTCCCAAACCCATAATTACAATGGCAAAATCCTTTATTGTAATGGAATGTGACGTATTGTCAGGGTCTATGGATTTGATTGTGAACATCTCTATCATAAGAATATTTCTGAAGCCGGGCAGTGGTGGCTCATGCCTTTAATCCCAGCACTCGGGAGTCAGAGGCAGGTGGATCTCTGTGAGTTCGAGGCCGGGCTGGACCGACAGCCTCCAAAACAATACAGAGAAACCCTGTCACGAAAAACCAAAAAAAAAAAAAAAAAAAGAATATTTCTGAGGCAAGTCACAATTTTGGTGATGGAAATAGAAACCTGAAAACCTTTTCAATAAAGATCTAGACAGTACATATTTTAGGGAACAAAGGCCACAGAATCTGTTATGACTTAACTCCTCATTGCAACATAAAAGCAAGCATGGCTAATATAAAAATAAAGGAACATAGCTGTGCTCCAAAAAATAAACAAAAACAGAAGCAAGCCTTGAATTATATCCCTACTTCCACTAAAACAGAAAAGATTCTGACGACATTTTATGGAGGAAAAGGAAAAACAGATATCTGTAATTGGTTTACAATTCAGAATTAGTAAACGTGTTAGGGAGATATTATGGGGATCAGGTCCTAAGAAACCAGAGGACAATACAACTGCGGTAACAAAGGAAGCAGGCAGGCCACAGTGCTAGCACCAAGCCAGGAAAGAACCTGTGGTCAGAGCTAATCCATTGGAAGACTCGGCAATCCCTTCACCACGGATACCAGCCAACATTGAGTTTCCCAGAGAAGAACAAGTGTACATTTCTTCCTTGAGCAGAAAGTAAATGCCCCAAAGATGGCTGCTCCAACAGAAGGGAAGCCAGGGACAAGGGAGATGAATTTGAATACATGGTGGTGTTTCTCAGGCATAAAATCATATGGATATTGAGGTGAACTCCATACAGCCAACCACCAATATAATAAACAAAACCTTGATTGATTGTTAAGAGTTGAAGAAGGAGGGGCTAGAGAGATGACTCAGCAGCTAAGGTCACTTGCTGCTCTTGCAGAGGACCCAGGTTCAGTTCCCAGCACCCTCCCAGGTGTGTGTGTGCATGGGGGAGCTCTCCCATGAGGGGCAGGACAAGTTCTCCTATGCCCGGGTCATTGCAGCTAGCTCTCCTGTGTGGGATGGGACAACGATCCAAGGACCAGCCTGTATGTATGTATGTATGTATGTATGTATGTATGTATGTATGTATACCAAATGTGTCTGGTGGCCCGCTCTGGCCAGAAGCAGGAGTCAGATCCCCTAGAATTGGAGTTACAGGTTGTGAGCCACCGACATGGAGACTTAATATGAATTATAAACGCTTGGTCAATAGTTCAGGCTTGTTACTAGCTAACTCTTAAATTAACCCGTATTTCTTATCTACACTCCGTCACATGGCTCATGACTTGTTACATCATTTTCTACATGTCCTGCTTCCTCTCACTCTGCCCTTCCTCTTCCCAGAGTTCTCCTAGCTTGATTGCCCCACCTAAACTTCCTGCCTGGCTACCAGACAATCGGCTTTTTATTAAACCAATCCAAGTGACAAATCTTCACAGTAAAAAAAGGATTATTCCATAGCATGTCTCCCTTTTTGTCTAACTAAAAAGGAAGGTTTTAGCTTTAACATAGTAAGATTATATACAACAAAATAGTTATTAAGAATTATAGTTACAATATCCAAAATTAGAAAAAATATTTTATTATCTATCTTATATTTGTGAGTCTAAAATTTCATACCTAATTTTCCTTTTATCATAACTAAAGAAAACTTAAGCTATCTAGTCTTCAACTCCATCAAAGACCCCAGATGGGTAAAATGTTACCTAACAATCACCCAAAGTTCTTCTATAACATTGGGGCACACATCTTTGGCCTACAGAGCTAGTATATCTGATAGACATTTCTGAGAAGCAGGGAATTTTGAAGAACTGTTCTACCTTGTCTTGGCAAAGTTTGGCAGTTGCTTTTTTTATGCATCCTGCTGGTCCAGCTTGCACAGAATACAGTTAGCAATGGAGGCAAGGGCAGTTTCTTTGTCCAAATGGCTAGCTCTTGCCATAAAGAAAATAAATTCCATATAGTGTTTCCTTCTAGCTGTGAGGCCCAAACCAGATGATTCTTTCACTATCTTTAGTCACACTAACAAACCTCCCATCGTCGGCTTTGACCCACAGTCCCTCTCTTCCTTTCCAGTCTCTCTGGTTTCCCTTTCCCCTTCTCAGTGACAGGCTGCCCACCCAGCCATGGGAGGCATTCCCTGGCCAGGACTCTGAATGGAATTACAATACACCAAGGGGGCATTCTTGCTATGTATTCATTTGTAACTTGCCTCCTGACTGGTCTTCACAAAACCTGGGCTTCTTTATTCTGAAAAACAATGATTCCTAGTACACAGAAGAATCAGCAAGAACACAGAAGAGACCAAAGATCCCTGAAGATAATGGTGGCATTTTGGAGGTCCTTCAAGTCCTTAATACTAACCTAAAATTGTCCCAGAAATTAATTTGCTGAAATAAAACTTGTGGAGGAATATTAACTGATGACACCTCAGAATAGAATACTTATTGAAATAAAATATTTTTATTTATATTAAATTGCTTTAAAATGTCAGACACTTAATAGATGCTAAATAATAGAAGAGGTCATTAATTTAAGCTCCCTGTGATAAGAATACAAGGACCAGCCTGGGCCGGCTAGCTGGGGAAATAATGGGACCATGGTAGGGCTCTCCTCTTTCATCTGAAATGCTTTATTCTTGCACACGTCTTGGTTTTGGCAGTTAGCTCTCAGCAGGTATAAACTGTTCCTCTGGTTTCCAACGCCCCCTTGTGTCCCCAAACGCTGTATGCCTGGAAACTTGTTTCAAGAAGAAAACCAGAGAACTGTATTTATTTAGAATGTGCTTGGGAAGAAAATAAGGATATTTTAAAATTACAGAACAAGAAAGTTCTATTACTCAAAATTCCAATGATGAGGTGATGACTGGAGACATGGCACCATGGTTAAGAACATTTGTTGTTGTTGCAGAAAACTCAACTTAATTCTAGCACCCACATGGTGGCTCACAACTATCTGTAACTGCAGTTCCAGGGGCTCTCAAGCCCGCTTCTGACTTCTGATACACGTGGTTCACACACATCACGCAGGCAAACCATTCATACAATGCAATAAATAAATAAATCTTTTAAAATTAAAAATAAATCAATAAGTAAAAATAAACATTAAAAATAATAGATGAAAAAGAATGCTGGTATTGAAACAATGAGATACAGCATTTTAAAAATCATATAATGAATCCAAATGTCCCAAAAACACACAAAAAGGTATCGACCCTCCACAGAAGTCAGGACACACACAGCAAACCCAAAATGAAGTCTTAGTTGTAGTCATTGTTGAAACTGGAACTGCTCAGGATATATGTGTAGACATTGTACAACCCCCATTTCCAAATTAGACTTTAGAGAAATAAACACGGTATCCCAGGATGTTCACAGTACTAATGTCAGTAATGGAAAAGGAGAGACCCTGGGAATGAGCCCAACGCTCACCAGTACGTAAATGGATTAAGTGTGATCTGCTCACACAGTGCTGTCCTGCCGGAGAGCAGTGAACAGTGAAAGTAAAGTCACCTCGCTGTATGCACCAGTGTAGACAGATTGCAAATATATTGTTGAACAAAGGAATAGCCACAGGACACATGCAATACGAGTCCATTTACATCAGAGTAAACAGTGCACATTGCTTAAACATAAAAACTAAAACAGCAGGCAACAGAATTATGGAATTTAGGTTAACGGTTATCCCTGGGTATGGGGGTAGTAAGAAAACATAATGAAGGCAGAGCAGTGAGGGCCCTTCTTTCTGAGGTGTGTACACACGTGCTTATGCATGTAGGTCATGTGTGTGTTGAGGCCAGAGTTCACCCTCAAGTGTTCCTTTGGTGCCGTCCACCTGGTTTTTTTGAGCCAGGATCTCTTCCTGACCTGGAATTTTCCAGGCAGGCTATGCTGGCTGGCCATCGAGCCCAGGTATCTGCCAGACTCTGCCCAGCACCAGCATTATAATCCTGTCCAGCCATGACCGCTTAAAGAAATGAATTCGGGGACCAAACCCTGGTACTCACACTTGCAAGGCAAGCACTCTAACAACTGAGCTATCTCCCTGCTCGTTGAGAGATCTGCTAAGGTACTTGGTAATATTTACATAAGTACCCATTCATGATACTCTTCCAAATGTCTGCTTTTACATGGGAGGCTGAGACCAGAGCTTGCTTGAGCCTAAGAGTTTGAGGTCAACCTGAGTAATAGCAACAAAATATGTCTTGTTGCACCTATGACACAGTCACAAAACCCAAAAGCAAGTAAGGATGCCCCTCACAGTTCTCCAGCTGTGGAACCAGCCTCTAGAGCTCTGTGTTGTTTGCCGTCTCAATGCCAGCTTCCTTGGCCATACAATAAAAGGGACCTGTTTTGGACAGCAGTTCTTCAGGACTGCCGTACTCCACAATCTTTCCACTGTCTAGGACCATTATCCTGAAATAGAGAAGAGACAACCTTTAGAGAGTGGTGTGTCAAAGCTAAACATCTATAAGGAGTCAGGACTAGGTGGTAGTCAACAGGATAGTGGCAACGAATGGACTTCAGCCGAGAGCACGGGCAGAGATGACTCCATGTCTACCCCTGGATGGAAGGAGCCAAATGGAGTAGAACCCTAACCCTAACCCTAAACAACCCCAAACCCTGAACCCTGAACCCTGAACCCTAACTCTAGCCCTAACCCTCACTGTAACCCTAACCCTGAAACCCTACCCTGAACGCTGAGCCCTAGCCCTAACCCTAACGGCAAAGTCCAGGCTGTTTAAGGTGTTTGGATTAAAGGGGGTTCCTTCCTCTCCAGACAGTTGTAATGCGCCTGAGTGGGAACAGCTGAGGCTGTGTGGTTGGGACAGTCTATGCTCACATCAGCCATGTGTAAGATGAGGCTTCCACCTTCCCACACCGACAGTGTAGCTTCCTATTTTATCCTTGCCCCGTTTAGCTTTTATTAGCTTGATGTACAGTTTGAAACTGCGAGGCCTCGGGGCTTCAGATGACACGGTTAAGCCCCCTGCTGTGAAGTGCCTCCAGGCTTCTAGCCCACGCCGGCACGGTAGCCCTGGGTTAGGTTCTGTCCCCTCGCCACCATCCTCACACTCACTTGTCACTGTCCATGATGGTGTGCAGCCTGTGGGCAATGGTGATCACTGTGCAGCTGGAGAACTCGCTTCGGATGGTCGTCTGAATAAGGTCGTCTGTCCCCAGATCCACAGCAGCTGTAGCCTCATCCAGGATGAGGATTTTGGATTTCAGCAGCAGAGCCCTGCCCAGACACAGAAGCTGCCTCTGCCCTATGCTGCAGCCAACAGAAGGAGTCACAGATAAGCCCAACGGACCGGGGAAAACCGGCCGCTAGGACTCATTTCACGAGCCAGAACTGGTTTTCAAAAATCCGCCATTGGTCACTGTTAAAGCCAATGTTTTTCAAACTTTCTCAGTTAGAAGACTTATCGGAACATCTTGATAAAAAAGTTTATGTTTCTGGGTCTTCCTTTACACAGACTGGGGGGGGCAGCCTAGAGTTTTATAATTTTAATAATTTTCATGTTGAAGCAAGTTTGAAAAACATTGGCCCGGAAACAGTGCTTTGTATTTAGCCATAGCGATACCAACAACTGCAAGTCAACACAAGTGCCCCCGAGTTGACTACAGCAGGGTGTCACCTGACACAGCTGATACAGGGTGGCGTTGCTGTGGAATGCCCCAGTGGCATTTATCTGTGGCCTCAGCAAATGCATTCATTATTTTAATGTGTGATTCTAGTCCCAAGGCTAATTATTTGTTCAAGGCTTCCTGCCTTGATTAGAGACAAAGCCACCTAATGAGCCTGGTGTCTTGGTGTGAGATGCAATGTATGTAGAATAAAACGCAAATAGCTTTAATTTGGTAAACGCCGATAATGAAAGCTGGACCTCTTACTTACATAAAGGAGCTTGGGAAATGATGTGAAGGAAAAATTTGGGAATTTGCTAATTACTCTTCCCTGCTGTGGTCATTAGGGACTGTATTAAACAGAGGGAGCTAGACTAATGTTCTGTAATTGTCTGCAAGAACATTTCCACAGGAGTGGAGAAGTCACCCAAGACGAACTTGCAGTGTTTGTAATATAAGGTCAGGCACCCTGCAGAACTCTTGGCTTAGCCGGCAGCCACCTTCTGCCCAGGTCAACTGTACTTTATAATATCGGGCACCTCCTAGCTGCTCTCTCATGCCCGCTTACCCACCGTTTACCACAGAGAGTGCACACTGTTTTGTTCCTCTACTAGTACATGTAGGCTTTAATTCCCTAAGCCAAGTCTGAAACACGGGCCTGAATTCAAGGCACTAGCAATCACAGTGAAGTGACTCCAGCACGGACAAGAAGAGGGATGTCACTATCACTTCCTGCCACAACGTCTCACACGTCCCCTCTGCAGGCTTAACAGCACTGCCGTTTATGCCCCATGATGTTTTATGTGCTTGGAGGTCCAGGGGTGTATCCGTGTTGTTTGCCTCTGTGTCTCCAGTGCCTGGCACACAGTAGGTGTTAATGCGTATTTATTGATATTTGAATGGTCTTTTACATCAGGTTAAACAGCTATGTAAGCCTTGCTGGCCCCGTGTCTGTTGTCAAGGGAAAGCAAGATAGACGACATTCACCCCCAAGCCATGAAAGTGCCCCTGTGGGTGAGGTCACCTAATGTAGGTCCAGATGAGCAGGCATAGGGCCTGGGACTCTGTGCTCATATGAAGCTCCTAGGTTCACCCAGAGCTTCCAGCTCACTGTTTGAGCTGCTGAGTTTCCCATCCCTTTGACGCTGCTGTCTGTGTCTCCCCTTCCACCGCTGAGGCACCGGGGTCAGAAGCAGGAGCTGCCCTTGAGCTTTGTCTAAGGACTGAATAGGGAGAATGCCAGAACCACACATTCGTGGACATCAGAAATGAAGTGTCAGGATATTAAAAACATATTTTAGGGTAAGAACTATAAACTCAGAGTCATTGTAAGAATCTTAGGTGTCTCTGCAGTGCCCAAGGGCTTTTTGGGTGGTAACCTCATCCATGTGCCCTTTAGACCGGTGGTTCTCAAACTGGGATTCCTTTCATAGCCTGTGGGGATCTCCATGTCCCCATGTCCTGTCTGGGTGTCACAACAGAGAGATCAGACTCTGGTTGGACCAGGAAGCTGGCTAGTGCTACTGAGACTCTGTTGAGCCTGTGCTCTAGGATTCTCCACCATAGTGGCCTTTGTAAGCTCACGTGATATAATGTCACATGAAGGCACATTTAATAACAAGTGTTTCTAAGCATTTTTACGTCTGTCTTAGCATATTTTTACACATTAGGAATTAGACCTATAGTGTAAATCCCACGATGCCAAACCGTATCTAATACAGGAACACAAAGAACAGTTCCCTCCCATCTTGTCACTGCCTGTGGAAGAAGCAGGTTACAAGACATTAATTACCTCAGGTTGTCACCACCCTCTGCCACTTCATGGTACAACCCAAGCTGCAGGCCTTCCACAAAGGATTTGAGATGGGCCAGCTCCAGGGCCTTCCAAACCTCCTCATCTGAGTATTTGTTGAACGGGTCTAGATTCATCCTCAGGCTCCCAGAGAACAGGATGGGGTCCTGCAAGTCAGAGAGTGGGGAGATGTTAGGGCTGATGTCAGCAAAGGGTTCAGTCATCCTCTGTGGTCAGAAGAAGAGATGTCTCATGTAGAAGCATGAGGAAGGACCTGAGTTTGTCCCCAGCATCCAAGAGAAAGCTGAGTGGCCTCTTGAGCCTTATGTTCAGAGTGGACACTACAGGATATCTGGAGCTACTGACCACTGGCCTAGCCCCAAACAAACAATGATCCCCTGAGGCTGGAGAGGGGGCTCTGCGGTTCAAGCACTGGCCGGTCTAGCAGAGGCCAGCACCCACAACTGTCCTTGACTCCAGAGGATCTGGCGCCCTCTTCTGGTGTCTGTGAGAAGCAGGTCCACATGCAGCACACTTACACACAAACAGGCAAAATACTCATAACACATAAAGAAATCGTAAAATAACAACAAAACCCCAAACGGCAAGCTCTAGGTTCCATGGAGGACCCTGTCTCGATGGAGTAAGGGGGAGAGAGATGGAAGAGGCATCTGATGACACACACCAGACAGCAGGAAAACAAATCCTCCACAGCCACTTGGTCACAGTGCAGAGAGCAGCAATGGTTCTATACCTCACAAGAGTGGAGCAGCCTCCAAGGCAATCCTTACTTTGGTAGGGTCCATAGAGCAAGCCAAAGGGAGGTCTTTCTTGCTGATACAATAAATGTTCCGCTTGCTGGCAAAAACCTGCAGCAAATTCCCTCCTCTGTCTTTTAGCCACATCAAATGGAGAATATAAAGCTTAATGGCTTCAAGCTTCAGCAGCAAAATTGCTACTGCTAATTACAAAGGTCTCAGTAAACCGTGATGGGCTACGGAATCGCCAAATAATCATCTGCTCTATTTGACTGCTGTTGTGTTGCTGCCACCTGCTGGTCAATTCTAGCAGTCACAAATTACGCACAAAATTCAGAACTCTTCTGGAAGCAGTGTCTTGGGGAACTAGTCTACAATCCTGGCGTGAAAGTGAACATTGGTAGTCAGCTAAACAGGGTCTAGAACCATCTAGGAGACAGACCCCTGGGGATGACTATTCCACGAGGTGGGGTCTTAAACTGAGGAGAAAAGAAAAACGCAGCTGAGAACCAGCCAGCGCTCATTTCTGCTTGGTGAGTGCAGACGCCGTGAGGCAGTGTTCACTCCTGTTGACATCCTTCCCACCACCATGGCCCGTGTCTCTTCTCAAACTGTGAGCCCAAATCGCCCTTAATCCTCTAAGTCACTTCCTGTCAGGTACAATGACAAGAAGAGCAACTAATTCATGTCCGTGTTTCTCTACTGTGTGTGCCAAAGTAAGTTCCAGGGCTAACCTGGGGGATGATGGTCAGTTTCCCTCGAAGGTCGTGCAGTCCAATGGAAGCAATGTCTACCCCATCAATGATGATCTGGCCACCTGCAGACTCCAAGATTCTGAAGAGGCAGTTTGTGAGGGATGACTTCCCAGCCCCCGTCCTGCCCACCACGCCGACCTGTGAATAGAGTTCATGTACATCTAGTTCACATGCAATTCTTGGAGAGAACAGAAATTAGCCTGTGAGAGTCACAATGTGGTAGGCACAGGTGACCAAAAAAAAAAAAAAAGGAAAAAAACCAAAAAACAAACAACAAAAAAAAAACACCTTACACAAACATGTAAAGTGGCTTTTAGGCCCAGATGCCAGAAAAACTGGTTCTCGCACACACACTCCTCTGTGCTGTGTGCTGAAAACAGTGGACAAGTCCTCTCAGCTGCTGTGGTTACACTTAATCCGGGCAATTACAGGCTCATTCGTTTTTTATTTTATTTTGTTTAAGAAGTGGAGAGAAAGAACCCTTTGGGGTGACTCAGTGAGCAAAGGCGATTGCTGCTAAGCCAGATGACTTGAGTTCAATCCCTGGACCCACAAGTTACCCTCTGCCCTTCACATATGTACATGTGCATGCATAGGCACACTTACTTCTTTCATTTTTTGAAATTATAATTACATTTCCTCTTTCCTTTCCTCCCTCCAAACCCTCCCATTACCATTCCCTTGCTCATTTTCAAATCCATTACCTTTTTTCATTAATTATTGTTACATGCATATATGTTTGCACATATACATATGAATATATATTCACACACATATGTTCCTAAATGTAACCTGCTCAGTCTGCATAATGTTACTTGTGTGTATGCTGTCAGAGATGACCATTTGGTATTGGATAACCCAGTCTCGGCATCCCTTAGCAGCCTATAGTTCAAAACAACCCAACACATCACAGATTTCGTGTCCTCCTTGCTAGAAGCCATGCTAGTCTTCTCTGTGCTGCTCCAATTTTAGTGTATTGCTGCTGGAGTGTGGACTAAGTTGTTTTTTGTTTCTTTGTTTGCTTGTTTGTTTTTTTGGCTTTTTTGTTTTTGTTTTGTTTTTTTTAGTGACAGGAGAAAAGGCTTGCCACCAGACAAGAAACCTGGTCCTTAGCCTCCTTATCTAGATTGGTTGATTGACGGATTGGTTTGTCTACATTGGACTCCAAACCTTGGAGAACTAAAGCTCTGTAGGAGGGTAGTCAGCTTCACAGACCAAGAAGAACACAAGGTAATTCCCTTCTTAGGGACCACATCTACACTATTGTTCTCAACAGCTTGGCCTCCAGGCCAGTTTCTTTCCTGTTTCTTCTCCACACATTGTTCCTTCACCCGGGGCTGGCAGGGAGGCGGGATCCAGCCCTCTGGTTGTATTCCTCACGTGTTCCCAGACTACAGGGACTATCTTAATCTCCCTGTGCCCAAATGATGGAGACCTTGTGTCCAGACATTCTCTGCTTGCAAGGTCTCCCAGCCGGAACTCTTTACGGAACTGTCTTGATGACTCACCTTCTCAGTGCTCTTGATGTGGCAAGTGATCCCTTTCAGTACCAGATCCAGCTCAGGCCGATACCGAACTTCATAGTTGTTAAACCAAATCTCACCTCGGCTGGGCCAATCTGCTGGAGGCCTCTTATCGGTCACCCACGGTGCCTAGCAAGGGGGAAGAATGAGGACTGATGGGCACAGTAGCAACTCAGCTAACAGTTGTCTTGGGACTCGTCACTTGACAGGTATCAGGTATCAGGACCCATTAACTGAGGATTCGTAGGGACAGGATTGCCCCTTTGGTCTGAGATTTGGGGGAGGTTAGAGCTGGCTCCTTTATTTCTCTGACCTCTCAGCTTTCACCCTAATATCTGACTCCGGGCTTTTATTACTAAGACCTATTAGAATATGTGCAACAAATCTTTAAAAAAAACATGATTAACCCACTCAAGATAGTTTCTGAAAATGAAGATGCCCTCTGAAAAGAATTTCACGGACCAACTCCTGAGTTTCACTAATTCTCACCTCATTTTCCACACCCATGTATTCCTTTATTCTCTCAACAGCCACAATGTTGGTCTCTGCTTCTGATGTCATCCTTACCAGCCAATTCAGGGTTTGTGTGATCTATAGAAGGAAAAAAAATTATACCAAACGCATGTGCCCGTGCATGCGTGCACGTGAGCACACACACACACACACACACACACACACACACACATGAAAACAAAATCAATGGAAAAAACAAACAAACCTCAGGCTCAGAAACCAGCTCAATTAACTAGTTGTAGCACAAGGTTAACTGAGAGGTTACTTTACATTCAGAACTGTGACGATATAAAAAGACAATTCTTATTTAATTCTTATTTTCTTAGCCAAGAATAAGATCAGCGCACTGATCAGTTGGGTAATACCTGAATGGCAATATGAGCCTTGAATAGTTCTGGGTTGAAGATGCTGGCTCTTGGTGAAGCACTACCAGAGTTCAGGTCTCCTGCCTGCAAACCTAGTGCTATTTGTAGAACTGTTGCAGGTGGCCCTCTACAAATGGGGATGCCATGAGAAAGGACCTGGGGACTCTCTGATCTCCCTCACCCTTAGCCATTAGGGTGGGATGGCCATGTCCCCCTTTACACAAGCAAACCAGATGTGTCCCTGCTACCACACAAATGCATCCAGCCACTAATGCAGGTCAGCCTACCAAACAGGGGTGGGCGTTTCGTTCAGGAAAGGAAACTGCAGTTTGCACATCTGCGCAAGGGCTTTGGGGAGTGAATGGTAGTTAGAGAGAGGAAATAAAATGCAGGCCAGGCCTGTGGTGACAGAGTAACAACCTTGTATGGGTTGAACCGCATGTAACGGCTGATCCTGAATGCTTAATTTTACTTTAATCTAATGGTGTCCTGACTCTGCCTTGACTGTCCTGGAGGATAAAGGGAAGTGGCACAAAGAACAGAGAGACTCTGGACTTTGGGGTCCCTAACATGAGCCTCGTTAGTTTCTAATGAAGACACCACTATATAAAGCGCACTTATGGCCATGCAAACCTCAGGGACAGTAGTTGGGAAAGCTGCACAGCAACATGACCAAATGTCCTGAATAGTGACTGTAGTGCCGGCCACTGCCTCAGATGCTGGGAAATAATACCAGCATTTATCCCCCAGTTGTGCTGGGGTGCTGCAGTGAGACTCGTATGTTTCTGTCAAATTCCTTATTATAATTTGTTTTACTTACTCTCTGATATAAGAAAAGCAAACTCAGGAGTTGTTTGTCCAAAGGATTTTGTGATTATCCCTATATTCCAGAGAAGAATAATCTCTGTTGACTAGAACCAATGAAGAAGGCAAAAAAAAAACTATTAAGTGGAAACATATAAAATGCCTTTTTAAGTCACAAGAACAGTAAGAGTTAGGCCCATTTTGCCAGGTGGCATTGGTGCCTACTTAAACGAGGTAGGATTTGTATTTGTGGGAAAAGATGTGGAGCCAGGGTTTGAACCCAGTCTTCCTAGTCCTTTTGATCAGAAAATAATAAGACATGGGCTCCTCAGTACACTTCAGAGTCAGCTTCAGAATTATTGGCTTCCTGGGCAGTGGGGGCTTATGCTTTTAGACCCAGCACTCAGGAGGCAGAGGCAAATGGATCTCTATGAGTTCAAGGCCAGCCTGGTCTACAGAGTAAATTCCAAGACAGCCAGGGCTGCACAGAGAAACTCCTGTCTCAAAAAATAAAACAAGAACATAAGATTATTTGACTTAGCCAAGTGTTCAGACTCACATTAAGGGCATTGGACAGAACAAAGCCCACGGTGTCTCCAGTCAAGGACTTTTTATAAATAACCAGAAGCAAGGCTGAAAAGAAGACAATTAGGTTTCCAACCAGTTCCAGACGAATTGCAAGCCACCTGTAGAGCAACAGAGCCAGAAAGAGAGATCATCAGTCTCTAGTCCCTCATCCACACCAGGAACTTGGGAGACTGTAAACATTCTTAAAGGGTTTTAGTCCGTACACTCTGTTCTTAGGAACGACCTCAATTTGATTTAGAAATAAACTGGTTTTTTTTAAAAAGGGAAATAGTAGCATTTTAAAGGTTCTAGAAGCATTTTCTAAACTAAAGGAATCCTACAGTGCAATATTTTCCAAAGCCCCCAGTTATAAAAATTAAATAGGGCAAGTGCTGAAAATATGACATACATCTAAAATACTCTCAGATATTCTGGAGGAGATTCTGACCCAAAGGCCACATATGAGTTAAGCATCTACATTTCTTTTTCTTTTCTTGGGACATGGTCTCACCGTGCAACCTTTGGCTGGCCTGGATCTTGCTGTGTAGACCAGGCTGGCCTCTAACTCACAGAGATTTTCCTGCCTCTGCTGGGTTTAAAGTCACATGCCACCAGCCTGCAAGCATCTACATTTTAAATAAGTGGTGGTTTCTTTTAATTAGCATAAGGAAGCAATGGCCTAGTAGATCCACAGGTAGGGCAAAACCCGCTGCCTCCTCTGCACTGTCTTAGCATTTTTTTTTTTTTGAAGTGAAGAAAAACTGGGAGTGGAAACAAGTTAAGTTCGAGCTGGTCACAGAGAGATTCACTGGGCTTTGTAGGGAACTGATGGACACATAGTTTAGCATCATTCATAAAAGTTAATTTCTCAAATAAAATATATTTAGCTAAATGTGTATCAATAAATCTAGCAAGTATTACAATAAGGGTCCAATGGGTTTACTCATAAGCCTTTCTTTCCTTCTTGTAAAGTCTCTAAGAAATCAAACCTCTGACCTCTCAGTGTTCCAAATAACTGACCACCACTAGCTGCCCTTAACATCTCAAGGTATTCTGAAAGACACTGAAGAAGCTCGGCTCCCCCCAAATCTTTCTCTTTCAATGGCATACCTACCTGCATGTCATGGTCTACTGATTCCTAGTCTGCTCAGGTGAACTTTTCAGTTCTTGTCAATAAAAAGGAAGAGAGAAAAGAAAAGAAAACCCTGAAGTTTTCCTTAGAGAGGCCAAGGCAGTTCACCTGGGATGGAGAACCTGTCTCCACCTTCTTCTTTGAGCTAATACAGTGCGGCAGGCACGGGGCATGAGGTCAGAAGGAATCTGATACCACTGGCTATGCCTGCTCCCCTATGCCAAACGTCAAACATGCAGAACCCTGAAACATACGTTTGCCTAAGTACCTAAGGGAGGCCTCACCTGTTGGAGGTGATCCAGGAAAAGACACATTTCTGGTTGACGTTGATCAGCTCCTCGCTGCTCGCTAGAAACCTCTGCTGGTGCTCAAAGGCACGGATAACGGGCAAACCTGAAACCGTCTCGCTGAAGTGAGAGTAGATTGGGGATCTGGTGACGGAGTCCAACCGTCTCAGCTGTCGGGAAGTAGCCACGTAAAACACCTGAACACAAGAACCGAGAGTCAGCTCGTCACACAGACACAAGCATACATTGTACTTCTGCTTCTCTCGGCGACCCCGCAACATCTGTCACTCCACGGCTGTGGCTCACAACGGAACAGGAAGGAGGCCTGAAACAGTGTGTCTGGCTGGAATGATGAGGTACAAGAAAGGGGACAGTAAGAAGACTACAGTGGTGGGTCAGAGGGAGATCAAACTGGGGTGACTACACTGCAGCCTTCAGGGGTTGAGTTTGCAACCCTCAGGAGGGGCTTCACGGTCAGGCCCAAAGGTCGCTTTCCTTAGACCTTCACATGTTATCCAGATAGAAGCTTCTGTACCGGCCAAGACGATTTTGTAAAGGGTGTCGGGACACAAGGAGTATGTAAAGTAGGGAAGGATGGTTCAGTAGGTAAGGACACTTGGTTTTGCAGAGGTCCTGGGTGCAGTTCCCAGCACCCACAGGGTGGTTCACAGCCCTCTGTATCCCCGGTTCTGTGGGCACCAGACACACAGCTGGTGCACATGCTTACAGCACAGGCAAACACAAGTCCATACAAAGTAAGATAAACAGATCTCTTAAAAATAGAGGGAATGCTGAGGTTTGAACTAAACTGGGGACTGACTAGTGGAGTGACCAAAACTGTGCCTCCATGGTGTGCTGGTAAGGTACGCAGAGGGTGTAAGCCCTGGGCTGATCCTAAGGGAACGTAGGCAAATGCCCACAGATGAAAGGTGTGGGTATCAGTTCACGGTCGGATGGAACCCGTGAGAACTTGCTGAAGGGAAAACTGGGCACTTGAGAGCCAATACTATGTCTCAGAGTTTCTTCTTCTAATCCTGCCTTCCTTGCTGGTTTGTTATGAGTAGTTAAAAGGCTGTTGAGGACATGGAAGTGTCTCTGCAGAACTCTACCCGGGCACAAGAGGTACTCTCCTACCACAGGACAGAAGACCACACAACCATACTGTAGAGTTCCCGAAGTTCATCACAAGGCAGCTGGGGGCCGGTGAGATGGCTCAGCAGGTAGAAGCTCTTACTGTGCAAATCGACAACCAGAGTTCGGTTACCAGAACTCACATAAAAGGAAGAAAAAAAACTGACTCTGCAAAGCTGCCATGTGACTTCCACACATGTGCCTGTGCACACGACAGACACACACACACACACACACACACACACACCCCAAATAAAGTTAATTTATTTTAAAGAATAAAGGCAACTTGCAGGAAGCACTCGCTTTATAGCTTCCTTTCTTAATCAATTTTTGTTTGGGGCATGAGGAGCCTTCTACTTATTTCAGTCCTCTGGGAAAATCGTTGAGCTTGAATTTGAAACACCCACAGACATGTCAATGAAACTAGAAATACCCTGAAGTGGGAAGAGATCCAGCCCCTGCATAGGGACATCCACAAATAGCAATGCCCTTTCAAAGGCAAAGGAAGCAGCAGCCCCACACAATCTTTTGAAACAGACCTGGACATATGTGGCAAGAGGGAATCTTAACTGAGACAATGTCTCCATAGATTATCCTGTAGGTAAGTCAGCAGGGCATTTTCTTGATTTATGATTGATGTGGAAGGGCCCCACCTACTGTGGCGGGTACCACTCCTGGGTGGGTGGTCCTGGATGGTATAAGAAAGTCGGCAGCACTCCTCCATGGGCTGCTTCGGGTTCTCCCTCCAGATTCTTGCCCTGTGTGATTGCCTGTCCTGACTTCCCTCAGTGGGATAGATGTGGCATGAGGAATGTAAGCTGAAATACTTTCCTCCCCAAGTTGTCTTGGTCATGGTGTTTTATCACAGCAATAGAACCCTAAGACAGAGGGCCTTATGGAACTGCGAATCCCTCCCTTCCTCTCTCCCTCCCTCCCCACCATTTGTCCTCCCCCTCCCCATTCCATCCCCTCTCACTTTTTCCATCCCTCTTCCCTCTCAGTGCTGGGCAAGTTCTCTGCCATGCTGCTGTATTCCTACCCCTCAAAACAGTCTTGAATCCAAGCACATATCTCCTACTTAAGCTCTCTGGAGGGCAGCATAGGGTGATTATGCTGGGACCCCCCCCACTAACTGATAGTGACATTTGAGCTTTGGATGGTCCCCGTGCTTTCCAGGAGGCCGGAGAAGACCAAGCAACAGTAAACACAAAGGAAGAGCCTCAGAGGTTTCTGGAACGGAGGGGGAGGGAGACCTAGCTATAGGCAAACTTACCTGTACGGACACGTAGATGATGCCAAGAGGAACGATGACGACGGCGAAGATGGGAGTGGCCATGCAGATCATAACCAGGGTGCTAATGATGCCAAAGAGACACATGAGCCAGCTCCGCAGAGTCTGGGGGAGGAGGTCATCCACCGTGGAGACGTCCTAGAGATGCAGGCAGGAGACAGGGTGAGGCCTTGCAGCGCGAAGACACCGCTCGGCTTCCTGGTTCCAGCCTGGAACCGGTGACTTTCTCCCTTAGGCTTTCCTTTGTCATTTAATCCCTTCAAGCCATCCATTTGTAACAGATTATATTGATCACTCCAATAATTAACCACATTCCTGTGGATTCCTTATTTTTCTAAATTCTTCCAAATATATGTGGCAATGATCTTCAGCTTTTTCAGTAGATGTCTTCATTAAACCACGAACTGTAAACGACTCTTTCAGAGAAACCCCCATAACCAAAGCAACTTGTTTCAGCCTGTGGGTCTATTAAATGTCCAGGAGAGAGTCCAGCACCTAGTAGGCCCTGAAGACATTTACGTAAACTCTGACCTGTAAGCTTTGTCTCCAGCTTTACTTAAGGGACCATCATGTACTGGGAAGTTATTTCCTCTGCTGAATGTAGAATTTCAAGGGGAAAGGAGAAGGGGACTGTGCGCGTCTCCTGCCTTGTCAGTGTCCCAACCAAGAAACCCCAGGTGAAAAATCGGTTTAACCATCATACTGTCTTATGTCATGTGAAATAAGCTGGGGAAGTTAACAGATGGGTGGATGATTTGGAACACACCAGAAAATCTGGCTTGTATCTTGGGTTGCCTTTGCCCAGTTTTCCTGGAGGATTATGTTAATTCTATATATTAGTATATGTGAATACTAAGACAAGTCCAAATTATTTTTGACACTTCCCAAATTTGGCCAGGGACACTAGCCTCCTAGGAGAGTTCTGAATTGGCCATGAGACCTCTGAGTCTAATCTAGCCCTCTCAAGTTACATCAGCATGCAGAAGTTAATCACACCCAGGGCTGGCAGAAAAGCCAAACTCCCACTAGCTGTCAGTTCTACAAGATCGCTTTTGGTCCCTACCTAATACAGATGCTCCACTTTTTTTCCCCTCCCTCTCTCTCTTTTCTTAAGGACTGTTTCTAGAAGACCCCGCAACAAATTTCCTCCTCAAAGGTCTGAGCCACCTCTCCAACAAAACTTGCTGTATGATAATGAGTTTTATCTTCCATGTAGAAGCAGCCAACAAATCTGATTATAGCCCAACTAACTCACAGGAAGACCTCTGGGTTCTTTCCCAGAAGACGAGTCATACATATAATGACATTGGAAAGATGACAGTGTTTATAAAATTTTCCTGAGAAGTATCTTCATCCAAAAGTATGTGCTCTTTACTTTCAGCTAACTAGCAGACAGCCTATTTAAGTGGTCTCCAATAACATGTTCACTATTTCTACCCTACAGGAAGATGAGAATGGGGACAGTTTCCTGTCTACTTTCACAGCAATTGCTCTGTTCCCTCACTGGAGGCTATGATTCACTCTTTATGTATCTGATACAGGATCCAGCAAATAACGATCCAGAGCTATTTGTATATCTTATAAAATGTCTTTCCCTCCCATAAGCAGTGAACTAAAAGTTGTGGTGATGAAGCCAGAATCATTCAGAATTGCCTGGCTTCTGCCTCTATTCCTGGAACTTCCATTTCAGATACATTTAAAAGAACCAATTAATTTGGCCTAGCCCATGGGAGGGAGCCATCTTCATATCTAATGGTATTAGACTCATCGAAAGTATTCAACAAATGGTGGGAAATGAATGGCTAAATGCAGATGGAGACAATGTTTGAGAGCCTCTTACCATACAGATGTCCCAGTCCAAAATTCGGACCCACCTCAGGAGTTCTCAAAAACATCAGAGGTGGACGTTTTAGGAATGAAGACAGGGTAAGGTAAGATCTTTCCTACAATTCCTTTTACTAACCGTTACAAGCATTGGGTGTGTCTTCACTTAGGTTTTTCTGTAGAGTCGTCCTTCTCACCTGCTTCTGCTGCCCACTCCTCTCCCCTACAGTCTTCACTACTTCTCTTACTGTCGTGATTTAACCAAGTCTCAGCTTTTCTGACACTTCCCAGCCTTGCCATCTGGCTGAAGTAGCTCTCGCTTTTGTCATTCCTTTCTTCCCCTAGGACACCTTCGTACATGCTACCGCTGGTTTTAATCACATCTTAATCCTCCTTCTCCTTGATGGTGAGCTACTTACTGAAAGGCAGAGATGGTCACCCCTCATATTCTTGAGCTCTCACAGGAAGTGTCCCAGAAATATTTGCATGCTAAGTAGACAAAGAACCCAGCCTGCAGAGTTGGATGGATGAGGACTCTCTCTTATCAAAAGTAGAAAGACCCTCAGCTTTTAAGCACCCCAATATGTTGAGATACTTACACCAGAAAATCTGTTCACAATCCGGCCTGTGGGAGTTGTGTCAAAAAAACTCATGGGTGCTCGAAGGATGTTGGTTAGCAGTTGATTGTGCAAAGTTTTTGATGAATGGTTGCAAGCATATACACTCCAGATACTTGCAATAAGCACAAAGATACCTAGAAACAGAACCAATGTTGTCAACTCCATGTCACAGACTCCTGATGATCTGTGCCTGGACACAATAGCAAATTACTTCCTGAGCTCTAGGGAATGTACAACCCCATAAAGATGTGCATCCTAGCCATCAGACATACCTTGTGCCAATCCCAGAGCTCCAAAGACTCCAATTCTCATGTCCCTCTGAGAAGGTGGATAGTTGGTGCTATTGTAGATTTGAGAGTCGCTGGTCCAAGCACTCAGCCAGAGGTTAGATCCAATAAAAGAAACAGAATTCAATCCATAGGAAAGGATGACAAAGGTTATCGAACACCATCCTACTGATTGTAGATATTTCAGGTAGACAGAGAACTTCACCTGCAAAGACACCATCAACAATACCCCTAAGAGCTTTGGGTAAGAAACTATAAAAAACTAACTGTAAGGAGGACTGTGCTGGCTAGGTTTTTTTTTTTTTTTTGACAACTTGACCTAAGCTAGAATCATTCTGGAACAGGGAGCCTCAGTTGAGGAAATGCCCCCTCCAGACTGGCCTGAAAAGAAGCTTGTGGTCTATTTCTCTGGTTGTTGATTGATGTGGGAGGGTTCAGGTCACTGTGGGCGCCACCCCTGGGCTGGTAGTGCTTAGTGCTATAAGAAAGCAGGCTGAGCAAGCCATGGAGCACAAGCCAGTCAGCCAGCAGCCTCCTCCATGGCTTCTGCTTGAGCTCCTGCCTCCAGATTCCTGCCCTGCTTGAGTTCCTGCCTTGACCTCCCTCAGTGACAGACTGTTACTGGAAGTGTGAGACAAAACAAACCCTTCCCCCCCCGAGTTGCTTTCGGTTCTGGTGTTTGGGGTAACTAAGTCAAGAAGTGACATCCCCTGGAAAAGTGGGAGGCAAAATTGAATAGTCTGTGCTCATCATTCCCATACTTGGCCAGGGCAATATGTTAATGCTAAGGACGATGCAAGGCAAATAAGTAGTCACCAGGTTAGTAATAAGCACTTACATGTAATGAAAAATACATAAAACAGGGTGGGAGAGGCCAGCATTTACTAAGGCCTTGGAATCTGTGGTTTCAAGTTTCATTCATTTGAGTTGTGTGCTCTGGGTCTGATACATTAGTGCTTCCTGGTGCCTACAATCCACTTGAAAGCAATTCCATTGTTCTCTACACATCAGAATAGAATCAAACATTCAGCCTTCATTCTTTTTCCTTTTTTAAAGATTTATTCTTTATGCATTCTTTATCTGGATGTGTCTGGCACACCTGGAGAGGGTTGGATTGTGAGCTGCCATGTGGTTGCTGGGGATTGAACTCACGAGCTCTGGAAGAGCAGCCAATGTTCTTAATCACTGAGCCATCTCTCCAAAAAGTCTCTGTTTCTGTTTTCATTTAAATAATGAATTTGAAGATTTGCAAAGGGATAGAATATGTGGCCCAGTAGATTACATGTTTAAGTTTCAACTAGCTTCTGAATTTTTTCAGATTCCAAGCCTTATTTCTCCCTAAGCAGTACTTTCTGTGAGTGGTGTTTACCTTCCCGGTTTCCACAAACTCCTTTTTAATTAGTTTTTGTCCTCTCACTACTTCTTCCTTCTCCTTCGAGGCATTGGCATTCTTCACTCTCAAGGAGTCCTTGAGGGACTTCACGTGCCTGCCGCTGGACCTGGAGCTGAGGCAGAGAAAGGAGAACACCTGAGCGTGTACACGCGTCCCAAGGATCTTACAAGCAGGTGTCACACTCACTCTGCTGGCATCAAAGTGCATTCAGAGCCAATAAACTGCCGCAGCCCTAGCCCTCCCGCCCCCCCAGGAAACAAAGCACTGAGAGCATTCATGAGATGTATCCCGTGTAGAGGAAAGGTCCATGCAGAAAAAGGAAAGACCACATAGTACTAAAAAGCCAGTAAGAGCTGACAGCTGGATACATGGCTACCTGCGGCTCAGTGTCCGGCGAAGGCTGTTTTCTCTTTTCATGGTCAAGGAAGCTGCGTCCTCGGGGATTTCCTCCACAGTTGGCATCAGCCCACAGTCATCATCATCTTCCTCACTGTCATCATTGACTAAGGGAGACATGTTAGAAATTAGGGAATAACACAGGACTCATAGCATTATAAATAAGAAAAGTCCTCCTGTATCATGTTGATCAGGGGAATTCAGATATATAGACAGGTGCTAAAGAAGGATATATATATATATGTATATTATATATTGTTTATATGTACATATGTGTGTGTGCTTAAGTCATTCAGTTTATAGTGCTTTACTACACAGCTTATAGGAATTTAATACAACTTACCTTTTCCTCCTCTCATTCCAATTAAATTCCAAGTCCCATTACCAATGAAATAGCATGGTATGCTCAGAGGCTCACGTAACTGCTCAGAAGTGGTCTCTCAATATTTACCAGAAGGCCTAATTACTAAAATACTTTCCCATATCTCTCTTTCTCAACCCTGACCTTTTATTTGTGACCACCGCCTGATGCTGTGCCTGATCTTTGGGAAGAGTCACAGTAAACAGGGCTTAGATACTAACCCATGGCTAATCATGAGCCCAGTGGTAGTGGGGATTGTTTCTATGATATACTACACGGCTATGCAATTGCTTGATTTTTTTCATGGTTCAAACATACAGTTATTTTTGATGCACCAACCAATATTCCTTTGCTAAGGATTATAAAACCATTACCATCCTGTGAAGCCAAATCCAGGATTTAGTGGATTTGAAGCAGTTGGGGGAGGATGTATAACTTGAGTAAACAGAAGTCTGGCATCCCTACAAGTGGGTCTCTTACACCATTGCTTTTCCTTCCATAGGGACTACTCACTCAAACATCCGTTGTACACTCTGAAGTGTCTGCTGATTGCATGTCAGAGGTAGAGGAGTAAAAATACTACTTACTCGGCCCAGGCACAGAGTTTCAATTTCTGTGTTTCTTGACAGAGACAGAGAACACAGAAGAATGGAGTTCGAATCTCTGGGTAATTCAGCTCCAAATGTAGTCCACTAAATACTAAATAGTTTAGGATACAGATACTGGTTTTCCATCCCACTAGGGCCCCAAGTTCCATCCTGTTCCAACTCTGCTCACATACCTGTGGCCTCTCCTTCCAGCCCTGAATGCTTCGTGAATGCCTTCAGGTTCTTAGCAAACACTCCTTTCTTGCTCAGCAGATTCTGATAGGATCCTTTCTCCAAGATGGTGCCGTTCCCCAGAACCACAATCTCATCCACTTGCGGAAGGAAGTGGATGCTATGAGTAACCAAGATTCGGGTCTGCAAAAATAGCATTAAATTGCTTTGAGTATTCCATGCCCACCAGCTTCCCTGGACTGCTCTAAAAAGAGAAAAGGAGACGTGTCAATTCACACTGGGGCTTTGATTCACAGTGCAGCCCCAACTACGTGACTCATCTTACTTTTCATCTTAAAACATTACCCTGCGTGAGAACTGAGACTCCCATAGTCATGCATCTACTCACGGTCATTTCCCTTCTGTGTCGACGAGGTTTGCTGACACATGCTCTCCTCCGTGTCTTTGAATAACAAGACTGAGCTAGAGACTCCCTAGGCCCAATGCCTATCCTTACAGAAAGATAACTGGTTAATTGTCTCTTTTCACTTACTAGACTGTCACTCACCAACTAATCAACTGTATAAAAAAAGAACTGCCCAGATCTTTCAGTAAGTTATGGATACTGTGTGATAAGAAACACTATTTTTATTCAGGGCTTCTTGGCATTAGAGACCTTGTATTCCTATACTGAATACTATGGCTTGAAAGAAAATGGCCCCCAAAGGGAGTGGCACTATTAGGAGGTGTGGTTTTGTTGGAGTAGGTGTGGTCTTGTTGAAGAAAGTGTGTCCCTGTGAATGTGGGCTTTGAGGTCTCACATGCTCAAGCTTTGCTCAGTGTGATACAGGGACCACTTCCTGTTGCCTGCAAGATGTACGACTCTCAGTTACTCTCCAGCACCATGTCTGCCTGCACACCACCAGGTCCCACGATGATGATAAGGGACTGAGGCTTTGAACTGTAAGTGAGCCACCCCAATTACATGTTTTCCTTTGTAAGAGTTGTTGTGCCCATGATGTCTCTCCATAGCAATAGGAACCCTAACTAAGACAGTTGCTGACACAGGAACCCCACTCACAGAGAGACTGATCAAGCAACAGTGAAGCTGAATTACATACAGTATGTGGGTTGTAATGGGCTCTGAGAGATAACCTAAGCCCACTGCATTCGCCCTCCACCTGACAGTCCAACAGCATGTAGAGTCTTCCTAACTGAGATATCGAGGGGACACTCATCCCTTATGTCTCCAGAGCAAATCCCTGGTTCCTTTCCCATGCTCCTTGGTAAGACGTGGTGTTCCTCCGAGGTTTCCACTGGAGTTTGTGACAACTACCATTAAAGCACTTTTTTGTTTTTTTAACACACTTGCCATAGAATAGATGTCAGTTCATGAGTGAATGGAATCAAGAAGGCCATAAAGACAGAAGGCAGACTACGAAGAGGAGGAAGACTGACTTTCTGCAGACCCATTGAACTAAGACAGAGGCAAAGGCCTCAAGAGAAGAGCAGGTTGCCTCAGCATCTCTGTCGTCTTCTGGCTAGCAGCATTCAAAAAGTCTTGAAGGAAACAAGCTAAATACAGTTAGCATATCCCTGCCTGTTGTTAAGGAAAATGGTCTTAGCAACAGAGGGACAAAGACATTTTTATGGATACATATATATGTATACACACACACACACACACACACACACACATATAACCCCAGATCTAACTTTTTTTCCAATTATCCTAAGACACTCAGTATCAGGGCAACAGAGTAAGCCTCTAATTAGTTAATTTCAGTATAGCCAGAGCCTTCAAGGGACATACTTTAATGAAACCAGTCTGACAGGAAGGAGATACGTAAGAAAAGCTTCTTCGGGACAATGCTGTCCTGAGAGATGTGCATGACCACACCCCCAAGCCCTCGCCTCCCGCCTTCATCATCGAACTTCTCACCTTGCCATTCAACAGGCCATTGGGGCCTAAGACCTTATCGAAAATGTGTTTCCCCACATGAGCATCCACAGCCGACAGGGGGTCATCTAGAATATAGATGTCTGCGTCTTGATAGGTAGCTCTGGCCAGGCTGACTCGCTGCTTCTGACCGCCACTGAGATTTATACCCTGAAGAAGAAAGTAATTTCTATTAAGCAACATGCCCTAGTCCCTGCTTTGCAATCTGATAAGGAGGAGAAAAGAGAGACATTTGCCTCAATAAGGTGTTAAGGGCTTTCAAATGTCATGTTTCTTTATATAAACCTGTCATTTCTATTAAGGCAAACAACTTTAGCCCAAATAATTAGTCATGCCCAAGTTAACCATTCTACCATGCAGCTTACCGATTGAATAATTTTGACACTTTCCACTCTGAGAAGGGAGAGCTAACACAAACGCGGAGTCACTGCCCCTAATTAGTTGCTCAATCAATGGATCCTGACTTAAAGGAACTCTAACTCTAGAGTTGTATTTTCGCTCATCTCCTACTGTCTCAAGATCCTTGCCCCCAGAGGATGGTTATGTTTTTTTTTTTTTTTTTTTTTTTGGTTTTACGACACAGGGTTTCTCTGTATTATTTTGGATGCTGTCGGTCCAGCCTAGATGTTCTTTTTTTTTTTTTTAAGGGAAAAAGAACAAAAATATCTTAAAATGTAGTAATCAAAAATTTCTAAATAATGCTATATCTACCCAATGTATATAATATAGTTATTCAAATCATTTTTCTTTTTTTACAATACATCTTTTTTGTTGTAGTTTTTCTAGACAGGGGTTTTCTGTGTGGCCCCAGCTGTCTAGGACTGGTTCTATGGACCAGGCTGGCCCCAAACTCAGAAATTTACCCACCTCTGCCTCCTGAGTACTGAGATTAAAGGCATGTGGCACCATGCCCAGCTAAAATTTTATTAAAGACCTTTAATGGCACAAGTCAACTCTGGGTCATTATAATAAACTTAGGCTCTTGGCTCCTTTGCCTTATTACCTTTGATTCAGATTATCAATTCTTGTGTTTGCTTTCAGGTACAAAGTGTAAAACATTTGAGGCGAGCCTTTAATTCTAGGACCTAGGTAGCAGAGACCGGTGGATCTCTGTGAGTTTGAGGTCAGCCTGAGGTACATAGCAAGCTCCAGGTCAGTCAAGGCTACATAGTTAGATCATGACTCAAAACAAAAACTGGAGTAATTTATATAAAGCATGCAGTCATACAAATGTGTTTTGTGTGGTTGTGAATATCATGATTTATCAACACAGTTTTTCACTACAATCCTTGCTGGTTTTCTTCAATTATTTCTGTACCCTTCAAGGTTCCTTGCCCCAAGTACCTTTTCTCCAATCTCAGCCATATCTCCTCCAGGCAACATTTCCAAGTCTGGGAGGAGAGCACAAGCTTCAACAACTTGCTGGTATTTCTTTTCATTGAATTCGGATCCAAAAAGAATGTTGTCTTTGATGGTTCCGTTCTGAATCCAGGACTGCTGAGGGACATAGGCAGTGGTGCCCTAAATGGGAAAGGATCAAACCATGTCGCAGTCACACAGAAACGGAGGCTGGAGCCAAGAGTGGCGAGAAGCTTTGAAGCGCTGAACATCAGGCTCCCTAAGCACCTGGTGTTTATTAATGTGCTGACCAGGAAGACCCAATTCTTTACCATCAAACCATCCTCTCCCCTGCACACCGTTTCATACTATCATCTTCTTCCCCTGATTCTGAGAATCAGAAGGAATGTACATGCTGCTAAAAACAGGGTTTTAGTCAACGACTTGATTAGAGCATTTTCAAAAGGCATAGATGACACCCTAGGAAGAAAACCCCAAGTGGCTGAAATTAACACACCAAAGCGATAGAGACTAAGCAATCCCTGTGTTTGAGAAATAACGGAGTCGTGAGTTAGCAGTAAAAAGTCTCCTAAAAGGAATTAGGAGGCAAAGTTAAATCTGTAGTTGTCTCTGATATAGTGCACGTTTTAAAAAAAATGTATTATTGGTTCTTTGGAGATTGATAAATAAGGGAGCAATCTCAGAGTGCTGTGGAAGAAGAAATGTTTCCAAGCAGATTAATGTAAAGGACCCAGACACAAACTTTCTCACAATTAGAAAGAAAGCCTTAGAAGAGGCCAAAAAGTTCTTTGTGGTCCAAATAGGCTTGTTTAATGATTGAAAATTGCTCCTAATTTCCTGTCAATTTAATTCAGAGGAGAAGTTCAGAGAGTTCATGAAAATGCCATGAAATCACTTTCCTCTGGTTTCATACAAATAAAACCAACAAACTATACTTAATATTTTATGAGGAAGTGTATTTAAAGATGTGGCCCTCAAAGAAGGAGGTAAGCGGGGCATTGCGACACATGCCTGTAATAAAAGCTACTCAGGGGGCTGAGGTAGTCAATCACAAACTCGAGGCCTACTTGGGCTACACACGGGGACCGGCTACACACAGGGACAGCCTGCAACCTGTCTCAAACTAAAAAGCAAGAAAAGGGGATGGTGGAGATGGTTAATCCCAAGAGCCCACGGGAAGCATGTGTCTGTGATATCAGTGCTCCTAAGGGGAGTTGGGAGGCAGAGACAGTACAGTCCCTTCTGGAGGCTTGTGGGTCAGCTAACCCGGTATGCACAGTGGTAAACAACAGAGGTATCTGAGGTTATCCTCTGACCTTGACATGCACACCGTGGCACAAGCACACACATGTACAAGCACACGCGTGCACACACATGGGGCGGGGGTGGGACTGACGCAAGAGACAGCTGGAATAGGAAGAGGCAGAGCTCTTCTTAGTCTGTATGAGGTTCGGTTCCCATCACTGGGGACAGAAGAGGGTGATGTTCGAGAGTAATGATGATGTTAGCTACAAATGCCAGTACTGATTTTATACTCATTACTGATTTTACTATTGTTTACTGTTGGTACTCTGGTCACAAAGTTAAGTTTGTTGTTTAAAGATTTATTTTTATGTGTTTAAGTGTTTTGCCTGCATGTGTGTATGTATGTCACATGCATGTCTTTTGTCCAGAGAGCCAGAAGAGAATATTGGATCCCCTGGAACTGGAGTTACAGATGGTTTTGAGCCACCCTGTGGGTGCTGGGAATCAAAAACAGTCCCCTTCAAGAGCAGCAAGTGCTCTTAACTGCTGAGCCATCTCTCCAGTCCTACAAAGTTAAGTTTTGAGTAACCTATTAAAACTTTTTCCTAGGCCCTTTTCCTTTTATTGCACAATTTTGCAGATGGGGGTGTGTTCCAGACACATACATGTATTTACAGCAGAAATGTCTATACTGTTAAGGAAGATGTCTCTAGTCAACAGTTTCAATACCTTGCTATGCATATAGGAATCACGTGGACAGTTCATTAAAACTTCAGATTCCTAGATCCTATGCACAGAGTTTGATTGTACAAGACTGGGGAGAGGCAGGGAATCTCCAGTCCACTACTACACCAGATGTCTCTAGGACCTCATGCGCTCGTGGACTATCCCATGAGGAAAGAGCCACAGTTGGGGTCAGAAATCGCCTCCACTGCACTTCCACTCACCTTGATGGTGACGTGCCCATGGACGTGTTCCATTTCTCCCAGCATGGCTGCTATCAAAGATGATTTCCCAGAGCCTACAGTGCCCACCACAGCCACCAGCTGGCCTGGCTTTATGTCCAGATTCACACTGAAAGAGAGAAATACTTTTTAAGGAAATGAGTGTGGGGGGGGTAGTAGTTCAAGTCACTTCTCTGGTTTCTACAAGAATTCTGTGTTTAGGTCATTTTTCTCTCAAGACTAGAAACTTTGTCATCGATGTATGACTTATTATTGCTAAGTTCTAAGAAACAGAAAAATAAATTCTAGCTATCAAACTCATTAAACCACTCACTGTCAAAGGTGCATTTGCAACAGTAAAAGTTCTCCTGGGGCAGGGGTTCTCTTAGGTCCAATGGTTGAACAACACCCTCTCAGGAACCTAGACACCTGATTTGTTCAGGTCTCAACTCTGACACGGTTGGGTTGGGCAATTTTAAAAGGTCACTTCCTCAGGACTAAGAGTTGGATTTTGAGTTTTCTAAACTAAACTTGTTAATTAATGTTTCTCAGATTTCTTTATTCTGTGAGTGACACTTGCTGAAAGCAAATTCCCTTACCTAACCCTAACCAAACTCTGAAGTTCTGATTTCTCTGAATGGGGAGGAGTCTCTGCTGGGCTAGAATCCCAGGAACTCTTGGTGCCAGCTTGACTATTTGAGTTCCTAACGTACTTGGAACATCAGGAACCTGCCACACAGTCTTTCCAAACCTCCTCTGGCTGTAGCAGGGAACCAAGTCCAGTCAAGTCTGCAGAGGAGACCTTTGGTCTGGGATGCTTAGGGCAACAGCCTTTGCTCTGACTAATCCTGGTGCTGACCCCAGAGTGCATTCCAAGGCTGTGGGAGTATGAGATAGGGTGTGGAGTCGTAGGGCTCTTTGCTTGGGGGTGAAAGAACACACAGGTTCTGAATTGGCAGGTATCCATAGCCTGAGTGGACCAAGAATCTAGAGTCCAAAGCAGGGAGGGCTTAACAGGCGCCTTCCTGCAGGGGTGCACTCACTGAACAAGAGTAATCCACAGTAGCTTTTTCCTTTTTTTTTTTTTTTTTTTTTTTTTTTTTTTGAGACAGAGTCTTGCCAGATAGCCCAGACTGGTCTCAAACTCATGATCCTCTTGCTTGTACCACCTGGGTGCTAAGATTACCAGTGTGTACTGCCACATGCAGCTTGGAGATCTATAGCAATAGTTCCCATCGTCTAGTCTGGGGAGAAAAGCCAGACTCTGAAGTCCAGGACCTGCACTTTCTCCACCTGTCATGTGGGGGAGCAAATATCTTTCACAGGCTCGCAGCATGAAAGCAGATGGAAAACATAACCACAGCAATGACTCAGGGCCTTCGCTCTCAGCTCATCCCTCTAGGGCGTGGCCTAAACCAGGGCCCAAGTGAATACAACACATGGCCTTTTCTGGTGCTCCACTGCACAGATTCTTCTGAAAATAAGGTGGGGCAGGAGGGCCCCAAGGAAGCTGGAAAGCAAGCAGACAAACTCACTCTCGGATGGTTGCGTCCGTGTCCCGGTCCCAGGTAAAGGAAGCCTCTGAAAACTGCACAGCTTTATCTGGTGACGGGGGAGAAAAAGCCCTCTCTTTTAGTTAAATGTAGGTCCTCACGTGAACATCAGCCTTTCCTCAGTCCGCCCGTGTCCCTGACTCTTCTACCAGCCTCTGGAACCACCTGTTAGGTGCTGAGCTTATACCAGCAGGAGGTAATGGTAGTTCCCAGGATGTGAATCCAAAGGCCTGCCTGTTGGAACCTTGGGATCTCAGATTCCTTGGACCTCTATATGCCCCACCCCCTCACTCCCAGGCCGCCCCCCCCCACATCCCAGTCCTCCGTTGCCTAGTCTTCTGTGTGAGTTCTACTTTCTTATTTAAGCCCTCCCGATTTTGGACTGTAGATGCCTTCCAATTCAAAACCCATGTGTTCTTTCACCCCCAAGCTACCTTCCCAATTCCCACTCCAGCCTGTCTTCTGCTTTCTGGGTTGCTTGCAGGACTCTCTGCTTATCTCAGAATTGCTAACTGTGTTTTGCTTAGAAATCTGGCTAAGCACTTTTCTTTTGGTGTGAACATAGCTTATATTGCTTGTTCTACAAGCCTAATCAATTTAAGATGGATTCCCTAGCTCTTCCATTAAATTAGTTGCTGTGGTTAAGCTCCTGCCTACAAACAGTCTGGTGCCAGCACTATGAATAATTGGTGGAAATAATTTCCAAATTTGTTTACCAAAATTGCAGACATGGTGAATGGCAGATGTGTCCAAGTCATCTCCTCCCAAGTACTTCTCTATCCGTTCTATAGAAACACTGGCCTAGAGAAGGACACAAAGATTCTAAGAACAAAACATTCAGTAACTCAGACACCTCGAATTGGACTCCATAATTTTTGTTTGGTTGGTTTGGCTTGGTTTTTCAAGATAGAGTTTCTCTGTAGTCCTGGCTGTCTTGAAACTCACTGTGTAGATCAGGCTGGCCTTGAACTCTGAGATCTGCCTGCTGTGGCCTCCTAATGCCTTTGTAAGACTGTCTCCCTATGAAGTGGATGAGGTCAGTATGATCATCCACATTCTAAACTGGGCCTCAGAGAGCTTATGATTTTATTAAGATCGGTCCATTGGTCTCTGGAAACCAGATGCACTTTTTTTTTTTTTTTTTTTGGTTTTTCGAGACAGGGTTTCTCTGTGTTGTTTTGGAGCCTGTCCTAGAACCTGCTCTGTAGACCAGGATGGCCTCAAACTCACAGAGATCTGCCTGCCTCTGCCTCCGGAGTGCTGGGATGACGTGTGTGTGCCACCAACGCCCGTCCCAGATGCACTTTTAATTTAACAATTACCAGCAGGTGCTAGAATGAGATCCAGTAGGCTAGTAGTTTGCACTACAAGGTAATTAAGCAGGTAGCAAAGGAGCTCTTATGTACCTGGAGTATTGAAGAGATCACCATGGGGAGCATGGTGAGAGGAAATCGAAGGACGTTGAAGAGGGTGATAGAGGTGAAAGCCTTCTCTGCATCCAAAATGTTGTTGCTGTCCACCAGGACGTAAACAGAGAAGGTGACCACAGACACCTAGGAAGAAGAAGGCCACGAGAAACCCACTACTAAAACGAGAAACCCACTACTAAAACGAGAAACCCACTACTAAAACGAGAAACCCACTACTAAAACGAGAAACCCACTACTAAAACGAGAAACCCACTACTAAAACGGTCCACACACCTTTGAGCTAAGTTTCAGGAGCCCGGCATATCAGAGTTGAAGGGATGTTAGGGATTATCTCAATCTCTTCAGATTACCCATAAGAAAACTGATCCTAGTAGAGGAAGGAATACCTCTCCCAAGGTAACAAAGTCGATTAATGGACTGCTAAGGTCAGAGCTTGGACCCGCTGTCCCTTTTACCACATCCATATTGCTTCCCACAGGAAGACAAGCCCTCCTTGAAAGTCATTCCGGGGACCTCATTCGTGATGAACGTTCTGAAACCTCACTAGTGGCTACCAGATCACCCAGCAGTACATGAAGGGGAGGACTAGAGTTGCAGTTGTAGGAGTTTGAGGAAGACTAGCAAATTCCCTGAATCTAGGGATCAAGTTTAGAGATGCTTGGAAGCTATTAGCACAGACTTTCCTTTTCAGAACATGACCTCAGTCCATATTCCTCTTCTACTCACCAGGATTGGCGCTAATTGTAAGAGGAATATCATCAGAGTCTGCAGCTGACCATATATCAGCAAATTCTTGAGTTCTTTCTTCCGAAGGCCATAGACTTGGTCTCTGAATGAAGGTTCCCAGGCAAAATATTTCAGGATCTAATGGGTCAGAGAACAGCAAAATTCACATTGTTTCCTGAAAGGGCATTAGGTACACATGGTCCACCATTATTTCAGGATAAGTTACCAAAAATTTGGGGCTGGAGATCTAGATTATAGAGATTTTACTTGTATTTATCGACAACCTGCTAAATGTAAGGCATTTACCATACATGCTTCACTTATTTATTTTTTTTATCCTAGATTGCCTTTCCAAATAAAGTTGCCAAGACACAGAACTTAAAGCTTGGAAATTTCTGAGTAACTTGAGGTGAATTAGTCAACCCACTTTTTTAGTGTTGTTTCCACTTAAGCAATAAGGAAACACGTAAAGGTTCTGTGGAAGGCTTCACATCAAGGAGGCGACAGAATATCTGAGCTTGAAGAAACAGGAACAGTTTCAATGGGTCTGACACCACTGGCCTCCATGGGCACCTGCACACTCACACACACACTCATATACACTTACACACACTCTCACACTCACACACACACTCACACACAGAAAGAGGAGGGATGGAGGGACAAAGGGAGAACAAAGAGAAGTAAAAATAAAACAAATATTGTATTAAGACAAAAAAACCGGGCACTGCTCTCAGCCTTGGTCAGCGAGGGAAGCAGTGGCCACAGGAGGCAGCAGCTACTGCAGAGACTCACAATTAATCAAAGCGCTAAGAGTAAGTGGCTACTGAGTGGAGCTCAGCCTCAACGGTGGTTCCAAATCACCGCCCTCCTACCCCCAAGACCCAGGGAACGTCATGGAAGATGGAGCAGAAGCAACATAAGAGCGGAGGATGGGAGGACGTGGGAGGGCACTGCAAAGCACTGCTTTCTGTACATGACACTGACACCGCACTCAGCCACTCCCGGCAACTGTCATTATCCACAGGCCGAGCCTGCCAACACTTCACCGCGGAGAGGGGAGGGCTCCCAGGCCTCACTCTAAAGAGGAGCTATTGGTAGTTAATGGCTGCTGTGGAGAGGGAAATGATTTTTCTTCTAGTGATAAATTTCTATAATTGAGTAAATAGCTCTACACTCATGTACATGCAAATAACCCTAGTTAAACTCAGTGGGTGTTATATATATTTTTTTAAGAGATAGGAAATTAGAGGTGGGTGTGTCTAGAAGAAAGAGTTTAGAGGGAATAGAGGGGGATAAGAGAGGGAAATGGTGTACGTAGGTGGTAAGCATAAATCAAAATTTGTTATTTATAAAATTGTTAAACAAATTAAAATTTATTTTGAAACATTTGTATAGTAAAATGTAAAGGCAAATCATTGAGGGTAAATAAAAAGAAATCAAGGTTCAAGATTATCTAGAAGGGTTAGGGCTAGAAGAGGAAACCGGAGACTTGTGGGTAAAGGAATCAGGAGTCATACGCCACTCAGCAGCTGAATCATTCACTGTCTCTGACACTACACCCGGAGGATTTCCTCTGCATGACCTTTTGTTTTCTTTACCTTAATTCCACTGAGAATCTCATTCATGATTTTTAACCGCTTGTCTTTATACTTCATATTTTGGACCTGCCAAGAGAAAGAAAGACAAAACCAAACTGTACTTCTGTGAGGGAAAGTCCGGGCTTGCTGCTCATGGTAGGCCCTTGTGGAAGACGTGGCCGCCATTTTATCAGAACGTGAGGTGTCCAGTAATGAGATTATTTCTCTCCAACTCTTCCTGATCCTGCCTTGTTTCTTCTGACCCGGAAGTCTTTCTGAGCCTGGCAGATGCCAAGCTTGTTCCTACCCGTCCTCCTGTAGCCCTTGCCTGACTGGACTCTGTCCTTAGGCCATTCTCCCCTTGCTGTTCCCAAGGCTCACACCTCCATTGGCAGGATGTGTCCTTCAGAGCTTGGCTGTAGACATCCACCTCACAGGGGACTCCTTTGACCTCCTACTTGAAAACATCTACCCACTCATTATCATTTTACACTCAGCTCTCTGTGTAGTACTCATCACGAACTGATTTTTTTTCCTTTGTTGTCTGTCTCTCCCCCCTGGGAGCACAATACAAAATCATGAGAGTAGGATTCTTGTTGATTCCTTGCTGTGCCCTTGGTAAGACATGCAATAGAGTTAAGACAATATTTACTACTAAATGAATACAAAACAAGTGAATGAATAGATCACATATGCTAGGGAGTCTACCACTACTGCAATTCTTGGAAGAGCTAAGGACTGTCTGCTTGGAGGACTGCCACCTAGAAACAGTAGGGTGACTGTCAGGACATAACTGAAAGGTGGGATTACTCATGTAGATGCTATATCTGGTTGGTTTATTTTGCTATTATGGAGAAGCAAGATTTTTAAAAAATCACTTCAGGAGGAAGCTTAGCAGAGCCAGGGGGAAAACTATATACTGAGTGGTCAGAGACCACAAGGAAGACAGAAAGAGCTAAGTATATCTGGGGTATAGAAAGTCTCCCAGAAGCTTTCCCTACCCAGTTCCCTGCAAGAGTTAGCAGCGTAAGTCGGAACTCATATGTTCAAAAGGCACATGCACACGGTGATGATTCCTTTACCTGGATCTTCCTGTTCTTGGTAGCCAGCACTGCATTAATTGGGGTTAGCAGAATCATAACCCCAACACCTGCTAAGATTGAAGGTCCCAACTCTCTCCACAGGAAGAAGATGGATAAGGCAATCTGCAGAGCACTTGACCACACCAAGTGCATGTAGTTGACGACTTCCACTAGTTTCTGGGCATCTACAGACATCAAGTTCACCGTCTCTCCGATGGTGTACTGCCTCCTGGCCAAGTTAGAAAGGCTCAGTGCCTACAGATAAAAATAGGATTGGAATAGGTAAGGATTAGCAGATAAGACAAAAGATAGTGAGAAGAAGAAGAGGACCTCAGAAAATGAGAAGACAATAGAAGAATGGGCTCCATGCAGACAAAGCTTCTCAATGGGACCACAGCTTTTCATTCAAACCTTAACACAGTGTTAGCTCATTTTTGACCACTTGTCTCTCTGGTTTTCACCTTCATTACATGCTATCCATCTATACACGTCTTCGTCCAGAAAATTCCCATCTATCCTTTGGTATCAACTTAAATGCAACTTTTGAAATGACTACCCAGACCCCCAAATTTACAAGAGTTACCTCAATTTGTAACTTACAACATTCTGTAGTTAATTTTTTTTGGTTTTACGAGACAAGGTTTCTCTGTATTGTTTTGGAGGCTGTCGGTCCAGCCTAGCCTCGAACTTACAGAGATCCACCTGCCTCTGCCTCCCGAGTGCTGGGATTAAAGGCGTGCGCCACCACCGCCCGGCTTGTAGTTAATTCTTTCTTTATCTTAATTATAAAGAACCATAGTTATTTTATTTTTCTATATATTTATCAGAAGTAAACTGTGAGGACAAGGTCTATATTTACCCATTTCACTATTGTATCATAGGCAATTCAATACTGAAGAATGGGAGAAAACGAGGAAATTAAAAATGGAAGAAGAGAAGGAGTAAGTTAGCATTGTTGATTCTTACCTTACAGACAACATTTTATTGTGTTTTATTTGCTTATTTAGTGTGTGTGTGTGTGTGTGTGTGTGTGTGTGTGTGTGTGTGTGTGTGTGTAATGGGAGGGTCTCACAGCCATCAACTTGGTGGCATGCATCTTGCCTTGCTGAGCCATCTCCCCAGCCCCTTTGTAGACTTTTGAGATAGCTAACTTTGTTTTTTTCATCTTTTGAGACAGGGTTTCTCTGTATTGTTTTGGAGGCTGTCCTGGAACTCTCTCTGTAGACCAGGCTGGCCTAGAATTCACAGAGATCTGCCTCCCGAGTGCTGGGATTAAAGGCGTGAGCCACCAACGCCCGTCGAGATAGCTAACTTATATTCAGCCAGTCTTGCAGAATGCAAGCATTATCAAGGACACAGATTTTTAGAATGGAGAGGAAAGCTGCAGAGGGTCACACGTCTGAAGCAACATGCTTTCTCTACTGTTCACAAGCAAGTTCTACATGCCTGAATCTTGCAATATAGGCTTTCTGCTTTCATGTTAGGGAGATCAGGAGACTAATATTCACACCACTGTGCCTTACTGTGCCTTACAGAACTAGGTAGAATAGCTTACATCTGTAATCTCAGCACTCAGGAAACTGAGGCAGGAGGATTGCTGGAAGTTCATAGTTCAGGCCATCCTGAACTACAGTGTGTGTGATATGGTTGACTTTAGTGTCAGCTTGAGACAAATTAGAATTAAATAAAAGTAGAGAGCCTGTCCTGAAGAACTCTCCTGGTTGCTCTAATTGATTGATACCAGGTCAGAGAGATGACTTAGCGGGTAAAAACACTTGCCACCAAACCTGTCAACCTGGGTTTGATCCTTAGAGGCCACATAGTGGGAGGAGAGAACCAACTCCTGCAAGTTGTTCTCTCACATACACACACCTACACACACACACACACACACACATATCTATACACATGCCTACACACACACACACACACATACACACATCTACACACATACACACATATATCTACACATATATACACATGCACCCAAATAAATTTCATGTATCAGAGGAAAGATGAGCAAAATCATCTCAAGCAAATAGAACACCTCCCAAAACTACAGAGCTCAGTAATGAGAGAATATAGTTGAAATTAAAAAGTAAATAAATAAATAGGCTGAGGAAGGTTTGGTAGCTGCTAGTCTGGGGGTGCAGCTCAGTGGCAGCACGTTTGTGTGGCACACAGAAGGCCCTAAGTCTGATCATCAGCAACCCCGAAACAAAACAACAAACACAAAGAGAAGAAAGAACAAGAAAGAGAAGTTTCTGGGGAAAACATAGTCTAGGGTGAAGTGCCCTGGCTCACACAGCATTCTAACCCCACGGTAAGATTAGATTTAGGGCAGACACATCAGGTCTTTGAACCCTTACTAGTAAGTATTTGAGTTAAGTGTTGGTGGTCAGGGACTGAAGAGAGAGACATCGCAGTGGTTAAGAGCACTGGCTACTCTTCCAGAGGACTCAGACTCAATGCCCACCATCCGCATGGAGGTTCAAAACAGGCTGTAGCTCTGATTCCAGGGGTTCTTGTGCCTTCTTCTTGCCTTCATGGGCACCAGACACGCATATAGGGAACATACATACATGCAGACAAAACACCCAACACACAATATACAACAAAACAAAAGTATTTCTAAAATTAAATGTCGGTGGTTTTAAGAGTGTGACCCTCAGTGCCTTCTTCTCCGGCTTTACCTTATTTCCTGAGGCTTTCCATTTTGTCAAGAGACACAAGGAGAATGGGTGTCTGAGCCTTCAGGGCTGAATGGCAGACCCTGGACAGTTTGCTAGCCTGTTTCTAGGATGCTCAGTATCACAAACACTTCATTTTTTAATTTTCAAAGAAGGATTTAGGGGAACCTTATAACTAATGAAAATTAAGTGCTGACATCAATTTTCATTTCTATCACATTTTCCTCAGTCTTGGAGTAAATGTTCATATTTTTTGTTTTTTTCTTTGGTTTGGTTTTTTTTCTTTTCTTTCTTTCTGCGTTTCTTTTTCTTTTATTTTTTTGGCTATACTTGACATAATCACTTACCTTCTTATATACAGAAGCCATGACAGTTGTCCGTACACTCATTCCCAACACGAAACACAACTGAAAATAAGTCTGAAGGCAGAAAGATTGGATGAGAGACACAGCAAATATCAGGATCGCAGAGACATATCCAACCCACTCATATGTTTCAGGATCGCTCACAAAGGCAATGAGAAATCTGCAGGAACAAAACCAAATTAAGTGATACTCACTCATTAGGTCTCCAAAGGTTCCTTCTTCTACTTATGTACAGCCAAAGCTTCACTCCTGCACCGTAGTTAAACAAACAACAAAAATTGTTCCTGACACAAGCTAAAGTCACCTGACAGGAAGGAACCTCAATTAAAAAAAAAATGCCTCCGTAAGATCAGGCTGTAGGCTGGCCTGTAGAAAACCTTTCTTTCTTTCCTCCTTTCTTTCTTTCTTTCTTTCTTTCTTTCTTTCTTTCTTTCTTTCTTTCTTCCTTCCTTCCTTCCTTCCTTCCTTCCTTCCTTCCTTCCTTCCTTTCTTTCTTTTTTCAAGACAGGATTTCTCAGTGTAGTAGCCATGGATGTCCTGCTGGGATTAAAGGCATGTACCACCACACCTGACTGGGAACTTTTCTTAATTAGTGATTGATGGGGGAGAGCCCAGCCCATTGTGGGTGGTTCCATCCCTGGGCTGGTGGTCTTGGGTTCTATAGGAAAGCAGGATGAGCAAGCCATGAGGAACAAGCCAGTGAGAAGCACCTCTTGATGGTCTCTGCATCAGCATCTGCCTCATCATCCCTGCCCTGTTTGAATTCTTGCTTCAACTTCCTTCGCTGATGGAGTATGATGTGGAAATGTGAGCCAAATAAACACTATCCTCCCCAACTTGCTTTTGGTCAAGGCAGTTCATCAAAACAGTAGAAACGCTAAAATACGCAATCCCAGTACTCAGGGACCAAGGAAGGAGAACCAAGAATTAAGCATAGGCAACATAGAGAGGCTCTAAAAAAAGGTGTGTGTGGGGGGAGATCTTTAGAGAAATCTCTCTCTCCCTCTGTCTCTCCCCCCTCTCTCCTACACACACACACACCCTGCCACTGTCATGTTTCAGCCCTGTCATAGGGAATGGGATCAGGTCCATTCATTTTTAGACAACGCAAGGTCATACCCAGACGAGGCAAGGACTCTCTAGCTGGTCACTCATTCCATACAATGGCAGATTGCAAAGCCCCACCAATGAGCACTCTAAGGAAGGTACTGGCTATGAAGAGATGAAGTTAGTCACTCTCCTGAAGCATGCTGCCCACTTCTTAGGTGTGGCTCAATCCATACTAGTTCAGTTTAACAACAAAAAAAAAGTCTAATGAGTATGTGGATGCCTCTTAGGAGAGGGACACAGAAAAGAGGGAGGCTAAAATGCCATCTTAGATCTTGAAAATGGCCTTGTGCCCTTTGTATACACAGAGCTGGAAAGTAGAAGTGGTTTCCAAAAACAGGAACTCAGTGAACACTCTTGCCTGCATATACAAGGTCAGGGGAGAGCAGGGAAGGCCCAGAAAGCACAGCAAGTCCTGGGAACTCACTTCAGGAGCTGAGGACTCAGAAACAGGAGAATATCGTGTATTAATTTCAATATAAAGGACTTCAGGATCACCAGATAGAAGGTTTTGAAGAGGGACTTCACCAGCCAGGATTTGGGAAAGTCTTTTGTGGTCCCAGACTTCTTTTTCTTCTTTTTAGCTTCTTCCTAGGTACAAAACCAAAACAACTACATCCACAGAATTGTGCAGTGTAAGCCTCATGAGAGTGTGCTTTGAATGGCTCCAGGCTCCAGCAGGGCCCATGAGCCCACCGCCCCCTCTATGGAGCTGTAATCTTCTCTTCACTCCCTTATTGCTGCCCACTGTCTTCCTGCTTCTCTCTTCCCCACCAACTCATACCATAATATCTTTTGGATTGGAAGAGCAGACAAGCAAACTAGAGAGAATACATCATAAATATAAGCACGGACAGACACTGGGAACTCCTGTACTCAGGAGGCTAAGGCAAAAGGATCATTAATTTAAGGTCAGCCTGAGCTACACAGTGAGTTCAAGGCCAGCCATAACTACATAAAAAGACTTTCAAAAATCCCAGGTCTGAAGTCATGGCTTAGTATGTAACAGAGCCCCAGACCTTAGCAAAACTGACTCCATGATGGAAGTACCACCCAGGCCCTAAAACTCAGCAGGTAGACTGTACCACGTGCCAAAACAAAAGCAAAGACCTAATCCATCAAGGTCCACAGTTCTGGGAAAGTCTTCAAATGTACTAGCCATACATCTTAGTATCTGTAGTTCTGCTTCTGGCTAACTGTTCTTATTTACTGAAGTATGTCAACCCAGAACATGATTTTTTGTGTTTAAAAGCCCACCCTGAGAAAGGCTCAGTGCTACACTGGGATGGAGATGTATCTGTGTCTAGGCCTGGGATTTCCAGCGTAGAACAGAAGCAAGAAAGGCGAAGTCCTGCCTCCTTCCATGTTTCAGGGAGGAAATGACCCTGCTGGTGACCTGGGTTCAGATTTCTGGCTCTGGTGCTTGGGGATGGCACAGTTCCCTGTCCTCTTCCCACCCCGACACCATCTTCCTCCTCTTCTCCTGGGAATCAATCCCAGGGTCATCAACAGGTGAAGCAGGCGCTCTGTCATCCTCCCTTCGCTCCTCTGCCCTTCCCAACCATTCCCTTCCTCTCACTATGTTGCCCAAGCTGCTCTCAAACTTACGCTCTCCTTCCTGCCTGAACTTCCTGAGTGATCACTGTGCCGTGCTTGTTTTTAATTTTATTAATAGCATTGACCCCCTCAGCATATTGATGGGCTAATTGCTTTCTCCCCTGGTTCTCTAAAGATGAGCTTTCTATCAGACTTGTTTATTGTATCCATTACTCCCAATACACACGAATCTGTGCTCAGTAAACATGTTTGAATAAATGAGTCAATACATTAGCTACTAATTCTAATTTCCAATACAGTGCAGTTTCTAGTAATCGTGTGTATGTGTGTGTGTGCGCGCACACGCGCATGTGTGTGTGTACGTACGCACGCATGCATATATGTGTGGAAAGGATGTTTGTGTGTGAGAGTGCAGGTTGCAGGTGTGCAAAAGTGTGCACCTGGGTGTCATGACAACCTTCACATGTTGGTCTTGGGCTTGTTTGAGATAGGGTCCCTTCCCTGCTGCTTAAACCTGGCTAGCTGGCCTAAGAGCTTCTGCATTTTTTCCTTTTCTCCACTCCCCATTTCCTGTAGTTACCTAGGATTCAGATATTTGTTATACTTCGTCTAGCTTTTATGCAGGTTCTAGGTATTCAGACGAAGATCACCAGGCTTATGTGGAAAGTGTTTTACCCATTGAGCAATCCATCTCCCTAGCCATAGTAATACTATTTATATTGTTATTATTAATTATTATCACTATTACACTATGAAAATTTCCAAGTATATTCAAAAGGAGAAACAACGGTATACTATACACCCACTCACCCCCACTCAGCCACTACAGAAGTGTGTGTCACTAATACAAGCACAGTGGAAGTGTAGGGCAGTATGAAAATGTGAAAACAATGTCAGAAACAACACTACTTCTTGCCTGAGACACACAACACATTCACCCAGACACCTGTGTTAAAGTTACCAGGACAAGAACATCTTGGCTTTGACTCTGGTTCTTGTTCAAACCGTGTAGTGTGGCCTCGTGGTTCTTCCGTGGCTTCTTCTTCCGCCGCCTCTGAAACGCCTGCTTGGCTTTCTGCAGGTCCTTTGCCATGAACGTTTCAAACTTGCTTGTGACTGGCTTTGTTTTAAGCTCTTCATCAATATCCCAGATATCGTCTAGTGTCAACGGATGCTTGTAACCTTTCAGAACAGTGCTGGAACAAGAATGACCCGTGGCTGAAACCCTATGTGCTGAACAAGAATGACCCACGGCTGAAACCCTGTGTGCTCTGTCAGTCTGCCTCCTTCCTATAGAGCCTGTCCTCCTGATCTCAGATAGAGGGATGACATTTTGTACATATCTCCTGGCCCTTTAATCTAACAGAAGAGCGGGGAGAACGCAGAGACAATGGTTTAGAAGACAATATGGAAAATAGAAAGCAAGAGGCTCTACTGGATCAAAGTCAAAGGCATCAGCTCCTCCTGCCCTCTGTCCTTTTCCTTCAAGTGCCAACTGCCTCTCGAATCTGCCATCTCCTCGAGGGACCTCCATGATGCTCTTAGGAAATGCAGCTCATCTCACAACTGCCTTCATACTGTATCTTTAGATTGGACCTCTCTAACTCAGGGCTTGAGAACATGAATGGAAAATTAATTACATCTTTATTGGTAACAACTCATAACTGAAATCCAGTCTTTTCTCCTAATATGGGCAGAATATGGTGTCTTTGTTACCACGAGAAACCATTGATGTTTTCATGGCTAACTTAGGCCCATTGCTACTTTCAAATTATGATCCTTATGAGATCTATCATTAGATATTTAAATTTAATGAGTTTATTTTAAAGTGTATTCATTACTATATCACACATTTGCTTTTTTATTTTACTTTTAGTTATGTGTATGCATACATGTCTGTATGAGAGTATGTGCACATATGCTCAGGTGTCTGTATATGCAGGAGGCATGAGATCCTGTTGGACCTTGAGTTACAGATAGTAAGTGAGCCACTTGATATGAGTGCTGGGAACAGAATTCGGGTCCTCTGAAAGAATAACCTGCTTTTAGATATTCTGAATATTTTTATTGTCTGTGTCCAATATGTGTAAAGTATTTATGGACCTCCCTAGCCTGTCAGAGGTCCACAAACTACAAAGACCAAAGGCAGCTGCTCTAGACCATCCAGTAGCACCAGCTGCTGTGTTTTCCTTTCCCTCCAAGCCTGTGCACATCACCTGCTTCCACACTCCCCCTTTCCCGTCCCGCTGTCTCCTCCTATTTCTCCCACGGAACTCTCAGGCTACCAGAAACAATCACCTCCCAGTTTCTCCTCCTTATCCTAATCATCCAGCGAAGGGGCCGAATTAAACTCACCCAAACTCTCTAAAGAGAAGAGAAATGGAGGCCACAGGAGGCACTTTTTAAAGAGCTGAGCTTTTCCCCGTTTTCAGAGAAGGGAGCACGTAAGGATAGAGGAAAGCCACAATCCAGGCACTTCCTACCTGTCATACCAACTAAACGTAATGCTACTCAGAAATGAAGCCGTGGATGATGTATTCTGAAAAAAAGAAGATGTTGAAAAAGTAAATCAATTGAAAATAGGAACTCTATGGGACTCTAAAATTAGAAACTGATTTTCTAGATGTGTCTTCAGAGACTAGCCATTTGGCTGCTGTTGGCTCAGCATGTATTTGGAGGCTCTAACAACCAGATTTTCTGGGGTAGGTATGTGAGTTAGGTGCCTGTGCCGAACATTTACAGGTGAACATGGAAGTTGGTGTTTCTATACACTTAGTATTCTGTTTCTTTAGATACATAAAAATTCTATACTGCAGGTTGAGTATCCCTTATTGAATGGGACCAATCGTGTTTCTGGTTTTGAAGTTTTTCCAGTTTGCAGTATTGTACAGTCTTTTTGAAAGTTTCGAATTTGGGGAATTTTGGATATTAGAGTTTTGGATTAGTTGCATTCAATCTGTACCTTATTATGGGTTCACAAGAACTCCATGAAACCCAGACATCTCCAAGCTACTTATGCTTGAGTACCCTCCAGTTAAATAACATATGAAATGAATGTAGGTAGAGTCTCACATGTGATGGGTCACTTTTTTCTGAAAGGGCAGAAAGGATAAGGATGATGATCTGGAACCCATAGGAGACGAAGAACAGGCAGGAATAGGCCAAGTTGGACTTGCTGTCCTGTGGGTGGGAGGCAAAAAAATGAGTTTTTTTTTTTAATCACAGTCTTAAACAATCCTTGCGTACCAGTGTTTAGGATTAAAGACATTACTAAACCCTTTGGTATAATCCTATCCTGGAGCTCAGATTGCTTGCGGTCATCTTCTGTGAGTCCTAAGCTTTCCAGCAGTATGTCTTCTTGTCACCTCCCCTTTCTCCTTACCTGCAGGAGAGCTCGTATCAGAGTCTGGAATTGGAACGTGCTGCAGAAGATTGAGAGAACCCAGAATATGGACAGGAACCAAGAGTTCTTCTGTATGCACCGCTGCCTGCTGTGCTGGGTCACTAGCACCAGGAGCTGGAGGGAACGTAAGACCCTGAGCTCAGTGTCACCACCACAGACACACAG